TCTATAGTAATATAATCTTATCTCCTCGAGTAGATAGCTTATAGCGTACCTGCCTATAGAATTAATAGACGAAATCGTATATATAGAATACTCTTATTATAGGCGGTTATTAGGGAAATAGTTATCTTATTAACGAAATAGCCGATAGTCGTAATTTATAATAAGAGATTATATATAGCCTCGAAGCTTTTATCTTTCTTTTAATATAAATTATATCTAATTTCCAGCCTTTAAATCTTTATTTATATTAATAGACTTTAGATATAATCTCTAATCGATTAAGTTAAGTCTTATTATTCTCGACCTCGCCTATAATATCTTATAATATCTTCTTACTCTCGACGATAATTACCGCGATTAAGATATTTAAAGAGATATAAAAACGCTATATCTTATATATAGTATAGAATATACTAGCGTTACTATATTTAAAGATAGTCGTTTATAGCTTTAGATATAGTCGAGAAGATGAGATTAAAACCGACTATAATACTATTAAAGACTTATAAAATACTCTTTTAAAGAAGTATAATAGTAATTATATCGCTCTATTAGAGGAGCTAGACGATTCGTAGCGAATAATTAAATTTAAATACCTTCGCTTCGAAGCTATAGTCTTTATATAAGACGAGAATCTAAAGAGATAATATATTCTTATAATAGATACGAGCGTAGATCCTCTTACAGACGACCCCGTAGTAGAATTAGCTAATCTACCCCCGAGTGAATATATAATTTATTATTTTAAGGCGATATTATAGATGATAACTATCGGTGTATAAGAAAGAATATATTTAATATTTATTATACGATACGATAGTAATATACTTAGAGAAGCTAATATAAAAGATATCTTTAGAATGAATTTTTAGAAGCTCGTTCGCGAGATAAAAATTATTTAAGTATTAAGTTGAATATTATAAATAGAGAAGTAAAATAACGATTTTATTTAGATATAGAATTTAAGGGTATAGAAGATATAGATAATTAACTTAGCGATTATAGTAGCTAAAGTATAATTATAATATAATAACGATTTTTTAAAAGAGAATATATTTTATAAACGTCGTTACTTAATATTATAATAGCTATAGAGTATAAGAATAATTACTTTAAGAAAGATATTTAAGATATTACCTCTCGAGCGACTTTATAAAAGCTAATCGATTAACTAATACTTAACGAAAGATAATAAAACGAATAATATAAATAAGGAACTTTGATAAAAACGAGGCGGGATAGAATTGAGGAGGTATAGCCTGAAGATAACCCTTTAATTAGCACTATTTCTTCTCTTCTCTTTTCTCTATATCTTTATATGTATTAGGCGTATAGGTTACTCTAGATAGTATATTATACTTAAAAACCGGATATAGCCGTAAGGCTGAGTGGGGAAAAACGGTCCCACTCTTGCCTATATGGCTAGAGGGGCGCCCCTCCGATGTAGGAATCACACACACACACACACACACCTTACTCAGAGGTGCGTGAGCGGTATTCCGTCGATAGGAGGCCGGGTACGAACTTTTGTTGAGTGGCGTGATATTCAATCGGCCTAGGTCTTGCAGCGGATCCTATGGAGCGGAATGAAAGTTCAGGAGGCGATGATAATCTCCTTGTCTCTGTATCCGAATACGATCCGTACTTCTGGAGTGATAACGTGCGTTGATTTGGAAGCGCAGGCGGGCCTGGGATCGAAAAGTCTTGCAATGGGTTGGCAGACCGGATGGACACCTCCCAGTCCTTAGAAATCTTTGGACCAGGAGGAATGGCACACGATTATGTCACTCCTTACACGCTCACAGCATGTATTCCTAGTAATTCAGACTCACGGCCTAGCCGGGGTACCTTATGCCACCTACACCCGTGCCTCGCTTCGGGGCCCAATCATATCGCAAGCTTATTACGGTATACCCCCTCTCTAGAGTCTAAGTAGGAAACCCTGGAATCGCTACATTGACCGTTATTTTGTATAAGACACCCGCAATAATTGACCGAAATACGAAATTCGCGACTTTCAACGATTTTTCCACGATTACTATATAATTCTTTAAAATCAATCGCGGGGCGAATAGGCCTATCGAGGTCGCTAATTAAGTATTTAAGCCTTTTATTAAAATCGAATAACTTGTTGTTATCGCATAAGCTAATCCGGGATCCGCGATCTCCGCTAACGCTTATAGCACTTACCTTTAGTCGATTAATCTTTATTAGAAAAACCTTAGACGATAGCGTATCGTATTTAGTATTATTAAAAGATTATATAACGAATTAGATTAAGAAATTACTCGAGTAGATTTATTATATTACCCTTAATTAGAAAGTTAAGCACTCGAGATACGCCCTCTATAGAAATATATATTAACTCGAATACGCTTTACTTAAAAGTTGAAGGGATTATAGTATATATATCTTAAATAATATTAACGTGGTTGGCACGCCAGAACGAGCTCGTATAAGTATAGAATATATTGGAAACACTCAGATACCCAACTTTCTCTATGGCGGCGACAGCGAGGTATCTTCGAACTTTAGATATTAACCTCTCTATATCTTATAGTAACATCCTTCCTCTACATATATGGCGAAGTCTAAAAACTTTTAATAGTTCGGATCGAAAGAAATTCAAAAATTCAAATATTTGGTTCCCGGGCTGCCGGGCATAAAAGTACGGAGGAGATGACCAAGCGACATTCGATCAGCTCGTTCATAACGACGACGCAGACCTTCCTGCATTCAAAGACGTCTTTTTCTACATTTTATATACCCATAAGAGACTCCGACGTCGTGCGAGATATTCTTATTCATCGATGTCGCCGCCACCAATATCTGACTTCACACCAAAAGGATGAATTATCTCCGCTTCGCTCTCCGCTCTACTCTCCGCAAGTTTGATCGCTTGTTTGTTTACATGTATCGCCGTGGCGATACTCTACTTGCTTGCTTGCTTACTTGCTTGCTTGCTTACTTACTTTTGCTTACGAGAGTCGCCGCGGCGATAAGTCATCGCGGCGATACTCTACTTACTTGCTTACTTACTTACTTATTTATTTGTTTATACTTATCGCCGCGACGACTTATCGCCGCGGCGACTCTTATAAGCCTAGCCGACCAAAAAATGGGGGGAGACTGCAAAAAATGGGGGGAGACTGCGGCGTCTAATCGAAGTAATGAACTAACTGGTGAGGCCACGCATTTTCCCCAACACGCTGTGCCGTCGGTCCGGCGAGTACTATAGCGGTTACCCCGAGGATTAATATACTGTGGAGGAATTCCTGTGTGGTGCTGCGCGTCTGTTAAGACGTACGGCGTTCTTAAGTACTGGTGCCGCTGCTATAAGCTGAGTTAGCTGAGTTTTTTAGTGGAATAGAATTGGAAGCCTACTTCTTAACCACTGCACCACAGCTCCTAATTTGACGAGGGCCTATTTGACTATTTATTCGACTTTTTTCAAGGGAATTCCAAAAAAGGCCATATCACGTAGATGCGCATTTTTGTTAAGGATCATATGTACGCAGGGTGTAAATATTACATATCGGGCAATACACCAAAAAAATAAGTCTTGGCAGGGTTTCCTGCTCAGACCCACTGCGTGGGGCCACTGAGACTACACAAAATTACTGACTATCTGACATCTCTTATATTGTAACGATTTATTCAACAAACAACCGGTGTTACTTGACGATAAAGAGTCATCCTAACAATCTGTTTATGGGAGTAACAAGCTGGTATGAAATCTGGGAAGTTGCCATACTTGTGAATGCGATGTGCATTAGAGCTGGAAAGAAGGGCGTCTTCAAGATACTTTCCGTTGGTAAGTCGAAGGTCCTCCATGCAATTGGATGGTAGATGACGATTCGTTGTCAGAATTAAATGATATATTACGAATACGCTTATAATAAATCTAAAATTAGAATTATATTTTAAGAAGATTATTATATTAATATAAGTAATATATATTTTATTTAAAAATTTAATCAGTATATATAAAAGAATAAATAAAAATAACGACTTTAAAAATTATTTTAAAATTATTTTAAAAGAAAAGAATAAAAAGAGATAATCTTTATATAGACGTTAAGAGAGTTATAACGTTATATAATATTAAGAATAGTATTTTCTTTATATTAATTTTCTTTTAATTTTACTATAAATCGTATTTTAGATAAAGTATTATATTATTTTCTTCGAGATTTTAATTACTTTCTTATTTTTTAAAATAAAGATAATATTCTTCTAATTAAATTAGCTAATATATATAAAAGTTTATATTTATTAAGTCTTTTTATAATAGTATTATCTACTTACTATTCGATATCTTCTTTACTTTTTCTAAAAATAATATATATATTAATTATATAAACTACTTTAAAAAAAAAGTCTAAAAATAATATAAAAATATTTAGAAATGAATATGTTTAGAAAATGAATATTGTCGAAATTTGGCCCCCACGCATCCCAGCCACCGTGTTTCCCAGTTAGTCACCTGAGTTTGTACTGTACTTAGGACCTGGCCCCGGAGAGGTTTTGGAGAATTAATCCATCTGTTCTACACAACACATATCACATATCTGATATTTTAACAAATATGACTAAGATATTCTGAATATTTCTGAATATGACTACAGAGCTTCCAATATGGCAATCTCGGCTATATTGCCATATGTGTGCTGTGCCTCTCCCTCAGTCAAGCTGTGGCGAGTAAAAACCTTGGTCTGAAACTCCCTGAGACTACCCGTGCCGAGATGTAAGCCTGGCGACGTCATGATATTTGGCGGTCAATGGATAGCACGCTCTTCCTCCAGCACAAGACTTCAGACCCGAAGACACAACTCTACTTATGACATAATTATATCGAATTACGCCGACTGAAACAAGCACCGCCAACCACTCTATAAAGCAAGATTATTCGCGAAATGAGCGGCAACCACTTCAGGCCTTGAACCGGAACCAAGACTGTCAACCTTCAAGCTACCATCTTTCACAACGCCCACAACCTCATGGCCTCCACCCCGAAAATCGCCATCATCGGCGCCGGTCCCGCAGGCCTCACGCTCGCACGCCTCCTCCACGTGTCAGAAGTCACGGTCGACCTAACGCTCTACGACCTCGACGCCTCCCCAACCTCCCGCCCAGATCGAGGCGGCACCCTCGACCTGCATGCCGACACTGGTCTCGCCGCGCTCCGCAAATGCGACCTCTGGGACTCTTTCCGCAAATACGCCCGCTACGACGGCCAGGAGTTCATCATCGTAGATAAGAACGCAACGGAGCTCGTCCACAGACGAGGCGGGGAGAGGGCCGGGCCGTCTGACCGTCCGGAGATTGATCGCGAGAGGCTGAAGCAAATTTTGTTGGAGAGTGTGCCCGAGGAATGTGTGAGATGGGGACGGCATTTGAGGGAGGTGACGGAGGATGGGATGTTAAGGTTTGATGGAAGGGAGCAGATGGAGGGGCCGTTCGATTTGATTGTTGGGGCGGATGGGGCGTGGAGTAAGGTTAGGGGAAGGTTGAATGGGATCGAGCCGGCTTATTCTGGGGTGAGTGGGTATGAAACGGAGATCATGGAGCCGGCGAGGACGTGTCCGCATGTGGATAAGATGGTTGGGAGGGGGAGCATTATTGGGTCATCGGATGCGAAGTTTTTGAATGCGCAGAGGATGGGGAATAATAGTCTCAAGGTCCGTAGCTGGTATGCGTGTCCGGAGGGCGAGGCGAAGGAGACGTTGGATAAGTATGGAAAGAAGGGAACGCTCGAGAAGATTTTAGAGAGGTATGCGGGTTGGGCGCCGGAGATGACTGAGCTTTTCAGGCAGGCGGATCTGGATGAATTGAAGCATTGGACTCTCTACGAGTTGCCTGTGGGTTATAAATGGGACCACAAGGAGGGTTTCACGCTGGTCGGAGACGCCGCAAGTCTTGCGACGCCATTCAGTGGAGAGGGTGTCAACAAAGCGATGAAGGATTCTCTCGAATTGGCAGAGCTCATCGAGAAGAGCCAGGATCCGAACGATGACCTTACACTGGATCAAGCAGTCCTGCTCTATGAGCAGCTGATGTTTCCCAGGGCCGAGAAGGTCCAAGCAAGGACCATGAACAACAAGCAGATCGCGTTCGGACCGGAAGCGCCACTTGGACTCATGACCGGTATGCTGAAAATGAAGGCAGGTGACAGTCCGTCGATCCTCGTCAGGATGCTTGGAACAGCGCCCGTTGTTGCGGCGGTCTACGGCTACTTCTGGATACGCGCGCAGATTGGCTGGGCTGTGCGCAGGTTGTGGAGGAGAACGTGAGGCTGTCGTTGTATACTGGCTGGAAGTATGAAGAGCATACAGCGTAGGCATCAGGAAGAGTGCACAACATAGGCTCGATACGTACTTAAGTACAACAGGTCTATCACGGCCATAACGAGTTTCAGCAATACTCTTCTACCATCACATTACCAGGTCACGGGTGCTAGATATGGAATTAAACAACGCCAGGCATTTGTTCTTAGTACCTATCAGCTATGGAATCATTAAGAAAAGAAGGTAATCGCAAGGCACACTCAAGCCCCAGCGTGCTTTTGGAATCAAGCACAGGTCCCACGCTCACATCAAGGAAAGGGGAGCGAATCGAAGCGTGAGACCGCTCAACCACCAAAATACAACCTGTGTGGGCCCTATTTGTGCATGTGAACTGTGTTTTCCTTGAGAGGGACATTTTGTGACGCTTTCTTTACTATTCCTCTCGGCCCTCACAGCCGTCCTCAGCGATGACCCTAAGGTTATCTACCCGAGTGCGGGACTCAAGACTACTCTAGAGGAGGGTCGCCCAGTCAAAACGGACCAACGGGTCCTGGTGGTCAACCCAGTCTTCCAGGCCTTTGCCCACAAGAAAACGGCATGGGTCATATCCACAGCATCCTGGACATCATCACATCAGTCATTTCCGACGTCGCCGACAGTTCATCCATAATTTCCATGCCACCATGTTCCCGCAGCAGACCACCGTTGCCCAAGCGCCGCGAACGTTTACAGCTCGTGCTCGGCCTATGAAAACGGCTTTGCTTCCCAGGTAGCGAGCGTGCTGGCGGGTCGCTTGTGTTCCTGTTGTACCGCGTGGGCGGGTTCGTATCTTTACGGCGTATTTGGTGGACACAGAAGGAGCTGCAAGAAATATGTTCAAACGCAGACACAGTCTTCGTTGCCACTACGGTTGTTGGGGATTTAGTTGTATTAGGTCGATCTAATGGCGCGACAAGGTGTTGCGGTGCTTCTTATTTCTTACGGGCTTTGGCAATGATATGAGATTTGTTCGAGCGCGGGAAACGACAGGTTGACAGCTACGGTAGTTGCGGCTGTGGGCACTAGCGCTGGATCCATGGCTGTAAATGGTATGGTGGCTTTGGTGATTGCCCGTGCCTCAATCTCGATGTCAATGTCAGCGACGTCTACCAGCACAGCGACTGCGCAAACTAGTAGGTCCACTAGTGCCCTAAAAGATGGCGTTATGGGTCGACATATCGCGTGGAAGCATCATTTCATTGTTTTAGTGGTTACTATGGGTGGGGTTGTCATGTGAAGTATATTAGATAGAACCGAAGTTGTGTCTTAGAGGGGAGAAGATATCATGTTCTGCTCCTTTGGAGTCAACTACCGTGTGTTGCAAAGAGAGGTAGTGAGAGATCGAGACGAGTATGTGCCACCAGGAACTCTAAAAGGTCTACCGGCCACGTTGAGGATGCGCGTCCTGATCAATCAAAGGGCAGCTACCACCTTGCAAAAGAAAGTCTTGAATTGCTTTGCTTGTCCGATTTCCCTGAGATCGCAAATCGGTGTGCTCGGCCCAGAGGTTTGGTTCAAGGTCCCAATGCTGAGGCGGATTCTCGCCAAGCAGGTCTCCCCTAATACATGCAGATTTCAAGTTCAAGACTTTGTTCATTTTCTGGAGGGTTTCTATCCAGGTGCCTTCCTGGAGTCGCATCGTTCTCATAGTAACGTGCTTCAACGTTGACGCATGTCGTTCGAAGAAGCAGTTTATATTTTCGGGTGCTGCATCAATGTTCTCCCATGCAATGCTTTCGAGGCATGGCCATGTTGTACTTCCAACAGTCTGATTCAGCTCGGCCGGACAGAATGGTTCATACCAGTCGAAGCTTATCGTAAGATTTTTGAGGTTGGGAGCCGCGGCAAGAAACTCAGTCAGCTTAGCATTTTTACTAAGATATCTCCGGCACTTTGGTATTTCTACGCCAATATCGTTGCCGCTTTCGTCCATTCCGGTAGAGATTGCAAGCTCCAAAGTCGTTAGGTAGTGAAGGGTACTCTTCATGCGCTCCAGAACTTCGTCACTCTGCTGTAAGAATTTCCAATCAACGCTGCCAAGTTGTAGTATACTGAGTTTGATACCAGCTTCGTGAACGGCAAGAAGCAATGAGCTCATGAAGGGGATGCCGCAATAATCTCCTCCCGCATAATGGAGACCTGCTGCGAAAGCATTGATCGCATCCTTACGTCTAACATAGATAGCCCATCCATGGTTCATGCATATCTCCGACAGGTTAGGTAGACGGGACATAGCATCAGAAAACTCCTGTAGTCCGTAGTCTCTGCGCCGAAGTTCTTCCTGCTCAGCGTACATTCGAGTGTACTCTTTGTAAGCCTTTTCGAGGTAGCTTCTTGAGTAATTGTGACGAGGCCTCTCTCGGATCTTGGTGATGTTGCGTCGCCAGGCGCGAAGCTCACGCTCACTGGCATCGGGGCCTGGGAGTGCTCCAAAGGCTCCCGTATGGCTGTTATTGATGATATTACTCTCCCAATCATATTGTGTTGTATAGTCATCTAGCGTGTTCGGCTCATAATACAGAGAAGTAATATGTTTGCTGATGAGCGGGTGCCGTGAGATGTCGAGGAGACGCTGGAAACTTTCCGGCTTGAAGACCAAGTTCACGTTTCCGAGCAAAAACCGCGTAGCAATGTTGTTCCAAAATTTGGACACCAAGCGAAGATTAGGAACGTCCTTCTCGTCAATGGAGTAGCATATCAATTCCGCGACTTCTGGAGGTAGACGCTCGATATAGCAGGCAGAACTAGATTCGGCTGGGCTATGGTGCTTTAAAATCATTGCTGTCTGGACTTGCTCTGCTCAAAGCTGGAGATTGTGTTGACATCGCAGAGACTCAAGATAAAGATTGTTGTACAAGGGGACACCTAGCTTTTTCACTCTAAATACCCGGCACTTAAACCCTACGGCGTAGTCAAACGACAACCCAACATCTGCTCTATCATCATCAACGTACATGTTGTACATTGAGCAATGGCTAGAACAAAAGCGACCGCATCTTACTGGACGCAACCTCGCACCAGGGCTAATCCTTCCGAACCACCTCGCAGATCTCTCAGATTGCGCAAAGAGAATGCAAGCGACACACAACAGACGCCAGAACAAACACTCCCTGCCAATTCCCAACCAGCCTCTTCGCTCTTCAAAGTCCCACGCGAAATCAGAGACTACATCTTTAAGCTCGCCTTAACCACTTACGAAGATGCCACGAAACTCTGCGATCTCGAGACCCAAGTGCCTGGATGTTACCAAAGAAGCTTTCCCCATCATCGCCCAGGCCATTACCACCACCTCCGCACGGACACAGCGCTGCTTCGTACATGTCGCCTCATCCACAATGAGACCGCCCTCGTACCAGTGTCTGTCAATACTCACTCTCTCTGCTACCCCGACATCCGAGCCCTTTCTTTCCCAATGTCCACCGTCGCCACCTCCTACTTCAAGCGCATGACATCCGCTCAACTTGCAGCCGTGCAGCACATCCATATATTTGCCAATCGCTCTCGTCTCACGGCCGAAGACCCTGGCCGGTATATCAGCCACAGCGCGTTCGCGGAGCTAGGCTGTTTGCGCGGCAAGAAGGAGAAAGAGGCTGGTGAGGGTGAAGGTACTTGTGGGATCGGGGGACCATACCCGAAGATGATGACGATTACAATCAGGGACTGCGACTGGAAATTCCGTAATCATACTCAGTTCGATCTTGACAACATGTTGGGAAATAGGCATTGGGAGAATGTGTTGGGAGAGTTGAAGGAATTGAGAATGGAATTGGAGATTGAAAATAGGCAAAAGGAGGCATTAATGCCCGTTATCAATAAGTTGAAGGGCTTTGAATTTGATATCGGAGGAGGTGAGTCACTGGTTGCAGAGGAAAACGTGAAGGAGAATTCGTGGATGGGACCAATTCAGTACCCTAGAGATTATGCGCCAGGAGACATGTGTGAGGAAAGAACATATTATGTTGCTACGCTTGTCTGGAAAGTGAGGTCCGTTGGTCAAGACTCTGCATGTTAGAATCTTATTTCGGGGTTCGAATGTCCATAGTCTTGCGGGCTCGCGACCGTGAAGCTTGATCAGATTTCTCTCCCCAAGGATGGTGAATGGGACGATTGCGATGAGGCAGTGATCGTAGATCATGTCACGGGTTTTCAGTGGGAGCTTGTCGAATGCGGACATTGCGTTTGGATGGAGCGATGAGATGCTCGAGTGGAAGATGGTGTATGGTGAGAAAGAGCAGGTTTCCAATGCATCACTTCAGCTGCGGTCTGCTCGTTTGTTTGATGATTTAAGTTCAAAGAGTTGATCGCGCGGTCATTGCATGCCAGGTTGGTTGTGTCAAACAAGAAGAGTAGAGATGCAGATACTAGGATGGAAGCTGTCTTGAGTATTGATTTTTTGGAAGGAGGGAGAATGAAGAAGGCAATACAGCAGAGTAAGGTCGGCCAATTGACACTTAGTATGGCGGTATCGAGCCTTTGAGGATTGTCATTCTGGAGGATTCTGATCCGTTGTTAGCTGACACGATAGATAAGGGCGTAGATGTTAGGTCCATCAATGTAGGGTCGATCTTTGTAAATGAGCTCTAAGTTCTCTTCTTACCAAACACTTTCTGGCAGACACATCACGGTAGATGATCTCTGGATTTCGAGCTCATTGTGTTCTTCTTTTGTAGCTGTCATCAAGTGCACGTAGGTAGAGCACTTCAAGTAGTATCCAGAGCTCGTAGCGTTCAGACACAGAAGGCGTTTTTTCCCTCCTAGACGTTTTGCAAGTCTTGAAAAAATGGCACAGCTAGATTTGAGAATATCGTTGACTCTGTGGCATTTCTCCAAGATATAGCAACCCGGCTTCCCCATTCTATGAGAACAAATCTTGACACACCGCCGCCACTTACCCAACGATCAAACATACACCCACCACCCCGGTCTAATCTCGCGGTAGGGGTAAAGGTGGAAGCTGTACTAGTTGGAGCTGCAGCACTTGCGCTGGTCGTCCCCGCCGCTTTCACAACGCTGGGCGAAGCACTTGGCAAACTCGTCTCATTACCTTCGCACTGAGCACCCATGAGATCTATATCTTCGGGCATGCCGTGAAGACTGTCATCGACAGCCTGCGAGGGCAACGGAGCTATTCGGGCAAGCCAATTTAGCCTACCAGATAATGTCTACCTGCGAAGGACATGCGAACACGGTACCTAACTTAGTAGCTGTTGGCTTGCTTCCATCATTGCACGCGCATGTGTGGATGTAATAAGGATTTATGCCACCTTGAAGTATATCGATACTAGGTCTCCCAATAACGAGTCAGCGACTCTTGATCATCGGACAACGGGCTGAGACTAAGGCACTTACATCTGTGTGCATGCGAAGACAACGATTGGGGAAACGGGACCCAGAGGTTCTACCGGGGCTGGCAGAGTAGGACTAGATGAACCAGAAGCTGTAGCCGGAGGTGGTGTGGGCGCTGGCGTGATAGGACTAGATGATGGAGGCTGCTTGGCGGCACGATGAACGGACACGAATACCAACGTCTATGATTGACACATCTGTAATTATGTACAGTTCATTCCCGTCCCTAGGTGCGTAACCACCGACTTGCGACCTTCATCGTGCTCGCACTAAAACAATTCTCCCTCGAAGCCGCTGAATCCTAGCGTGCAGTACGATCAAAAGCGCCTTTGCCCTTCCTTCCCTATAAGCAACCGGCGCAACCGCAGCAAAGGCCTGAAGATCAGATGCTCCCATCTGAATCTTGCAGTTCCTGCGCTCGAATTCTGGCATCTATCGCTTTTTACGTTCCATCACTGGGATCCACATCTCATACCTCACCCACTTTTTTCATTCATGACCCAACGACTCAAACAGTGATGTGTCATCATCTCTCCCCGTTACTCCCCTGAAACCCAGCACCATCAACCATTCTCCTGCTCCCCCCACCCCCTCTCAACCAATCCTTCATCACCTGCCCACCTCTCGGCCTTCGGACCCACTTTCCAACACGGAACAGAGAAACCCCCGTCATCTTTCACAGCGTCTGCACTAAACGCGCAAACTGCCGTCTTTCTCGTCCCCTCAATGGGAGAGATCATTCCAAGACCCATATTCACGCGCGCGAATAATCCGAGCTAAGGGATATAGAACAGGCTATCACTAGGTCTGTCAAGACGTAGTGGGGGATGGACGGCGTAGGTAGCTGATGCCGTGGTTTAGAGGCAGGGAGAGTCAAGTGGCCGCTTCTGACATCATCTTGATCAATCATCTTCATGATGAGCTGGGAAAAGCTGATGGGTAGAAAGTGTGAGGATGCTAGTAAGAATGTTTTCATCCTTTCGAACGGCTTCCTCAGATCCTCGATATTGCGAGACGTTGTGAATTAGGGGCCAGCGCCGTTGCAAACGCGCTATTACTCTATTCGGTCTAAAATCGAAAAGACGACTGGGTTGCTTTTACTATGCTAGATGTGGGGCAAAAAGCTCGACCATTGCACAGTGTCGTAAGCAACTCGATACTTGCTAAGTGAATCCAAAGAAATACAACCTCCGACATTAGTTCCACTACTAGCCGACCTACAATGCAAAGGAAAGAAGAAAAGATAAAACAGTTCCAAGCAACACGAGCGCAACAGGTCCATGCGCTGGACCATTTACACTCCTTCGCCAGCCGTCACTTACCTTCCACCCACCTTCCCTACTGCGTTCTCCAAAGATTGAAACACGTCACCGGCACACTGGGCGTATAGCAAGTATTAGCCGCGAGCGTCGCCCCAGTTGTCTGGTCCGGGTTCGCCGTATATTGAAACAGCGCGCACTCCTTATCAATGGGCACGCCATCGCTGCCTTTCTTCGTGCTGCCGTCCGGGTACGCGAAGTTCATGTCGAGCTGCTCGTTCGGCTGCAGGTCCCGGCCCAGCATGTAGGAGACGACGAGCGCGTGGTTGTTTTGGCCATACAGCAGGTCCGGGTACCAGATATTCTCGCCGCCAATGGTATTGTTGCCGCAGCCGGAGCGCGTCCAGGCGGAGAAGGTTTGATTGGTGCCGGCCATGTATTGTGGGGATGATGGGGTGTTGGTGGATAATTTTGGGGTGATGTTGGAGTCAACGAAGCGGCGGTGGGGGCGGCTGGCTAGAGCGGAGAATGGGAGGAGGAGGAGGAAGAGGGTGGTGAGGGGTGTGAGGGGGACGTACATGGTAAGTTGTGGAAATGGTTGATGTTGGGGGTAGTTGTGGGGTTTGGGATACTGAGGGGTATTCGTAGGAGGAGTAAGGGTGAGTATTTGTTTTTTTCTGAGGGATGGTTCGTGATTATGTGGGCAGAAGAGATGGTACGTTTGTGTACCAGCATGAAGAAAGAGAGCACAAGCAATGACGGGTCGCAATTGTGCTGTCACAACTAAATCTGTGAGACATAAAGAGCATTCCGATGTGTGAACCTGCATCAAAGCAGATGGACGTTCTTCGATTGACAGTTTTCAACAACATTGTGTTGTTGACGGATCACTCTTCTTCGAATCCTTTCTTCCTTCGATTACAACATCACTGAAAGAAGCAGGGAGAACAAGGTGAAAACGCAGGACAAGGACAAGCTTTCACGTCGGGTCTTTAACCGCCTGGATTCTTTCATGACTTGGAGAATTTTCCTCTTTTGAAGGAAGAGACAAAGGAATGATGAGCGTAGCAGGTTGAGCTGGGGGCGAGTGATGGTCTTTTGGTAATAGTGCAAAAGGAGTAAATGTGCATAAGATAAGTCCCTGGACATAATTCCGGGTACCCCGCCACCCCGCCCGGCAGTGTCTAGGGACTTATGCAAGCCACTACCTTACGTCAGATCACACTTCCCTTGAGGCTCTGCACCAGGTCGTCTTTAACCAGCGCGTTTTGATATTGCGTAACAAGAAGCGGAGTCTCCAAGATCCTCGCTCAATCTCTGTGATTGCTGGACCCACGCTCTGGCACAGCTGGGGCAGCAATGGCGCAATCAAGCTACCCCTGCAAGTTCTGTACCGTTCTTGCGTGAACTCATCTTTCTCATCTCCTTGTACCATAGCCATGACCCAAGCCTTGAACAAATTCGCATGGCCCCGATCATATAAACCAGTAACGTCACAATGCCTTCCGCGCTTCTACTCAACCCCGACCTACAGCGCGCCCGCCCCGGCCGCCGCATCGGAAGCGGAAGTGCTGTCGGCGAAAAGTTACTGCTCGGGGCTACTCCAGTACGTCCGCCACGAGATCTTCCATCCTCACAACTGCTGAACAACGCGCTGTGACAGAAAGTTCGACTCCCCCTCCCACACCCTGCTCGCCTTCATCCCACCCTCCGCCCAACCCGCCTACCTCGCCCTCCGCGCCTTCAACATCGAAACGTCCCGCATCGCCGACACCGTCTCCACCCCCACGGTCGGTGCCATGCGCCTGCAATTCTGGCGCGACAATGTAAACCGCTCTTTCTCGGGCACGCCGCCCAAAGAGCCCGTTTCTATACTCTTGTCCCACGCGCTCGCGGACCTTGATGCGCGCACGGGAGGAACGGCGAAGATGAGTAAGAGCTGGCTCATGAGGATCATCGGTGAGAGGGAAAAATATTTGAACAATGCGCCGTATCCTACGTTGGAGTCGTTGGAGAAGTACGGGGAGAACACGTACTCGACGCTGCTATACTTGACGCTGCAGGCGCTGCCGATGGGAAGTGTGACGGCTGATCATATTGCGAGTCACGTTGGCAAAGCGGTTGGAATCACGGCTGTGTTGCGTGGATTACCACTGGTGGCATTCCCTCCGCCCCCGAACCATCACTCCAACTCTTCGCCTTTGGGAGGCACGTTGGATGCTCAGAGGAGAAGCCAGGGAAGTGTGACCCTGCCGTTGGATGTGATGGCCAGAACGGGTGTGAGAGATGAGGACGTGTTGAGGAAAGGGGCGGAGGCGGAGGGATTGCGGGACGCAGTCTTTGAAGTTGCGACGAGGGCAAGTGATCATTTGATTACGGCCAGGCAAATGCTGAAAAATGTTTACGCTGGGGAGGATGTAGATCACGCCTTTGAATACGATGGGGAGGAAGGGCATGACTACGAGGGGCAGACTAACAAGGGACCGGGGAAGGCTACCCAGCAGCAAGAGGAGGTGGATAGGGCTTTTGGCGTCTTCATGCCTGCAGTGGCGACGGGGTTGTGGTTGGATAAGTTGCAGAAACTCGATTTTGACGTTTTCAGAGAAGAGTTGAGAAGAAGGGATTGGAAGCTGCCATGGAAGGCGTATTTTGCGCACAGGAGGAGAATGTTTTGAGGACTTCGGGTGATCACAGACATTGGTCTGGTGAAAGGGAAAATCGCCGTTACGGGATGAACTGCCTTCAGAGCGAGACACCCGACGAGACGGTTGGACTCAAAACCATCGAAGCACAGCTACATGCACAACCAACCATGAGGACAAACACTGGTAGAGGAACCTTCTTTACCAGGACATTCTCGTTGTGCAGTGAAGCGCAAATGCGAATGGAGAAGGAAGCAGTCAGCAAAAAGAAAGGCTGACGTCGATTTGAGGCTTCTTCACTGAACCTAGTGACAAAAGCAAAACAAGATTCCAGAATTGGGACAACTTCGCAATAGAGACGGTCAAAGAATGACCCTAGTGCGGCCCGTTGGATAGGAGGAACGGTCTTCTCATCGTCTGATGCAGTCGAAGATTGTAGACAAGGTGATGTGGCAGATCGTTACTGTCTACATTCGCGAGTAGCAACTCTCGCTAAATACCGGAGATGCTCGCCGACTATCTTGTACGTCTGCTCAGCAAACCATCAGACTGACTCTCGTGGTCACACTGCCACCGTGCAACTCTCATTGGCCATCATTGCAAGCTGTAGTTGAATAACAAGGATAGTTAGTGGCCAAGCTGTCGGAGTCTTGCTACTCCCCGGATCAGATCTGAGCGGTGAGGTATGTGCTTCTTCTTCGGCGATTCAATAACATCTTGTTTCTTTCGTGTGCTGTAGCAAAGGAGCCTATCAATTCTCGATACCATGGAGCTAAGTTCGCTTTCGAAAGTGACGGAGATGCGGAGGCAGGTCTTCCTGTATTGCTCCATTGCTGCTAATTAATTCCTCCGCGGATGCCTTTTGCAGGATACCATCGCACAAATCCCTGGGTGGACGCATCAGGGCCGTTGAAGAGTTACTGATCGAGGACGGCAATAGTTTTCGACCATGCGCCTGCCGGGCAACAGGCTGTCTCAGCCAAAATCTCCCATTGATCCCTTAGTCCAGTCGGCATTGTTGAGCCAGTCGAGCCAGTCGGTATCATTGTCTATCGGAAAGTCTGTATATGCCGCTAACATTATCCGCATGATCGCACAGCAGCAAACAAGTTTCAACAAGATCCCTCATACCACATGCAAACTTTCTCCTGTCATTGCGCGATTCATCTTGAGATGTCAGCAGCGGGTCCCAATCGGGCAATGATATGGCTGCAAGACCAAAAAGAGCAACCAGCATTCCCAATATCTCCCATCGGAAATTATCACCTGTAAAAGAAACGAGCCAAGTGTGTCGATTTTTAGTGGGACTGTCTCCTGGCAGACAGAAAGCATTGCGGCACATTTTCTCCGAGACGAACGAAGGCTTTTTGGGGTCTTTGGGTGCTGTGAGATACGGACCATACGTGTCCCGCAGCGATTTGTGAGCAAACGTCAGGGTTGGCTTATGCGTTATAAGATCCTCGAACACGACGTAGCGGTCGAGGAGTCTGTCACATACGTCCTGGCTTGGCAAAGCATTCAAGATGTTCAATGCCAATCTAATAGCTGCTTCGTTTGGGGTGTGAATGTGGACACTGCGGCATTGACTGATGTCGTGTGATGGAGTCGACAGCGCACTGGCAGCTAGATGATGGTGATAGCTCTTGCATGGGTCCAAAAGGTCCATCCCAAGCTTTCCCTGATGTTATAAGAAGATCGCAGAGTACGCCGTCGGTCCTAAGAAGCCATTGGGACATTTGTCAACGTAGGGGAAGCCCGCGGCAAAGATCTTGTAATCCTCGGGGCTCTGCAGCTTCAAACACAGATTCATGCTGGCGGTTTTTCTGGGGACCGTCGACGGTGGTGAAGCTGCTATGCTTGGACCTGGTTTCTTCGTGGGTGCGGGGTCGTATACACACTCGGATGTAAGTCTTCGATGCTTGCATCGCCTGCAGACTGGCATGGAGTGATCACATCGTAGCTTTGATTTCCTACAAGGCTCGCATGCCTGCTGTTTACCATTACGCCTTCTCGGTACAATTTATTGATCCGCCTCGGCCGAGGGCATCGTTCAGAGACAGTGTGGATGTGGGAAGAAGATATCTTCGGCTATGCCACTCAATTGTAGTAAAGCTTAGGTTTTCAATATTTGTAGAGTATTGTGGTTATCCATCATGGAAGGTGCATCGTAAGCTCTCAAGTATAGATTGGGCGACGGCACAAATCGCAGTCTGGTGAGTGTGGACATCTTCCAACAGTGACGACGCGGACAGAAGAGGGAAAGATATGGGGAGATTGATTTCTAACAGTGAACATGGTAGAAAGGCCATCAGCGTACAGTGTTCGGAGTCGCAGCCTAGAGTGAGAGAGGGACTACGTTGTATCGGAGTAGATGTTCGGTGATCGGAGTTCGAACAACGTATTCTCTTGGCGCTTACGGACTCCTTGATTACAAACCGAACGACACCTATGTGACTCCGCTTGCATATAGCCTTCCCATCTAAGCCTAGCCGCGTAGACCTGACTCATAAAATTACTTAGTAGCCATGGCTGTGAACCTAATAAGGCTGTTCGGAATTGATGACAATGTCGGAGTCACTATACTCTTGCTGCCTTGACAAATACTCCTGTACCTCTGGACTGTCTCCTTTCGTGTACATAAGAATGCCCAATCCGCTCAATTGATTCTGTTCTTCATTCCAAGACACGAGTCAAATAAAAAAAGCAGCCCTAAAAGACAAAAGAACTTAACCACTACTACCAAGCTCTACCACTACCACCACTTTACCTACCAATCCACCTACAATGCCTAACGGATTCCCCGCCTTCCGTTTCGACCCCACAACCGCCCCGCGCTACCTCGTCAAAACCGCCAAAACCTCTTCAGACACAGCATCATGCTACACAGACTCATCGCTGGAAAGTACAGAGACTGCCAAGCTTTCCAAGTACCAGTACCCTACTGAACGAGGTATGACTGCCCTTGGCATTTGAGAAAAGGAGTGTGCCTAATAATGGGACAGATCCTCCAAAGAAATCGCATTCCAAGCCGAAGGGAACGTTCCAGAGGCTTTTCGGATGAGGATATTTGTAGTGTTGGTCATCTGTCTTGGCGGGTAGGATTTCTGAGCAATGTAAAGACCAAAAGGTCCTCAATCCCTTCAGCACTAGCGCAAGAGAGGGGATGGGTATTGTGGTGATGGCGCAGTCGGTAGAAACAAGGAACAAACACTTTCCGAAAAAGTGTTGAATAAGCAACAAGCCAAATGTTGTGTCATCAAAATGTTTGATCGCTGTTTGGATGACCGATGTTGACATTGATCCCTCCTCTTTCTTTTTGGTTGCCGGTGTTTCGTGAGGTTGAACTTTCTTGTTCGTAATGCTAACAAACACCAACAAGTGGGATTGTCTTCACTCTAGATGCTCGGCAATGAAACATCCTGGGGAGTGGAAGTAGAGAAGTTTTCTTTAGGCCAATCCTAGTTTGCCGGAAAAGGAATACGGCTAGCAGCTTCAGACGATACTTAAGTTGAATGATGCACGGCTAGCATCATTTGTCTTTCCGGTGACAAAACCGGAGACCGACCCAGAAGAATTCACGAGAGCCGATGCCAGTACACGAAGGTGGAAGGGCTCTTCGGAGGTATGGCGCGTACGGCGGCCCATAACGTTGCGAGAGGCTATCGTGAGCCTGCAACAATTTGGGGAAACTTCTCCTCTAAACGCGTCAAGAGATGCAATCGATCAAGTGCAGCTTCGACAACTTTGCAACAAATCTACGGCGCTGTGTTGGGCGTATTCCGCTCAGATAGACGATAGATGCCCACGCTTGATCTTTGGTTGCATATACGAAGAATGGTCTCGCTGCCATAATGACGAGCCGAGAATAGACTTTGAACATTTCTTTGCAAACCCAGTTAGCATTACCTCAGCCGGCCCTACAACCATATCCGGCATTCTTGAGGCATACATATATCTTTACAATAAGACTCAAGAGCTAGCACTTTCGGAATTAGCACCTATTTCGACAATTAAACGATCTCTCTACCCACTTACTAATGACACCGAGTCGCATCGTATTTTTAATACCGATAAAAGGGCCAATAAAGTTACGGAATGGCAGACGAGAAGCAAATTAACAACGTTGCGGAAGCGCGGTAAGCCGTGTCGAGAGTCAGAGCGGCGCAGCGAGGACAGAGCCATCTCAATAAATCGAGGCCACCTCATTTTGATGGGAGGTGGAAGTATGAACATCGCCTGTGTGCCTTGCAGAGTTGGCTACACTAGTTTCATCTGGCGAGCTGGAGTGAGTGTAGCGATATTGCCAACCTGTTCCCACGAAGAAGTTCAGCCAAGCCTTCCGTGCTCACCTGTTCCAGTCTGAGCAGTTGATTCTTTTCGCAGCTGGACGAAAACTCGGAGCTCTGCTGTATCAGTCTTTGCTTCTACACGTACCCAAAGGCGAGAAATCAAATCTCACAGTCTCGAGACGAAATTGAGGTGTAGTAGAGACCGCTGGCAAAGCTCTTTGGGCGGTTCTGTTCTCATGACGGTACTAGTACCGATGTCATAGTTAGGCACTCAGTAGGATATGAGTAAAAGCATATATCCATTAGACCACCTTTGAAAGTAGGATTTCCCTTCCTTGAACAGCATTTCCGCAAAGTTTCGTTCCCAATCTAGCGGACCTTCCTTGGGTGATACGTCCTGTGTAGTGACCGCTCAAAGTTGTCGTCTTGTGAGCTTTGAAGGACTTACAGACGTCGACAACCTTCCATGCGGGGCGTTATCCGAGATCTTGGCGCAGGAGCCTTGGCGTTCAGTAAAGAGATCACGAAATATTTCGCGTCGCGGATTCACGTGACCTTGCGATTTGCCCACCTTCGGTTCTTCTCTCAGACTCTCGACTGCAATCCCCCGATATATTTGCAGCGACCAGGCTTATTATGGATAGCCTAGATATCGATCAGCGGCCTGCGAAGAAGAGACGCTTCTTTGTCGAGGATTCTCCAGAGCCTGAACGTACTGTATTCTCCACCGCGTCGCCACATAACGACGCGCTCTCCACAGCCAATACCACTCTACATGAGAAACTGCTTGAGCCCAACTCGAGCCAGACTGATCTCAGTATCCACGATGGCAAAGACGGAATGGATGTCGATGCCTCGAAAAATTTCGAAAAGGAGACGTTCGAGAGCTTTGTTGGTGATAAAGTGGCGCCGGCTACATTCGATAAGCTACGAGAGGTGTCCGGTGACAATATGGAGCGTGCGATTAACATGTACCTCGACGGCTCGTGGGCCAATGTACCCGCGCCTCCAGCCCCTAGACCTTCTTCGTCTTCCATCATGAATGTGTCCAACTCGGGACTTCCAGAGCGGACCTGCCAGCAGCACAGGACTGAAGAAAGACGATTATCAGATATCATGGATACAGGGAGCACATTGGACAGAATACCAGACTACAGATATGTAGGTGCCTTCGGCGTTGGGGCATGGGCAACACGAAGTGGTACTGGTCTTATAAAGATGGGAGAAGCCATCAAGATCGAGCGAACGAAGATCAAGGCTCCTGTAAAGATAGGCCGAGGTGGGAAGGCAACCCAGACAAATGCTGCAAGAATGAGGGGCGACGTCATTGTACGCTTTACGAATTCGAGAGGAGAGGAGGTGGGTAGATTACCGAAGGAGACCGCCAATTGGGTGTCTACTTTGATGGACCAAAAGGTCTGTAGGTTCGACGGTGTCTGCTTTCTGGCCCCAGAAAGGGTCCGGGTCAATGATACGATCGAGCTGCAATTGAGGTGCTCGTTGCTAAGGAGAGCATTCGAAGTTGGCGGCTTCCAGAAGCCCGAGGACAACCGGACTACGGGTTTCTTCGAAGAGAAGGAGACGTCCGATGAGAAGAATCTGAGACTAAGGCAGGTCGCTATGGTCAAATTGTTCGACGAGGTCAACCTGCACCCAACGACGGTCAATGATACTACAGCGAGGCACAAGCGGCAGGGCATACTACAGGCTGCGGAAATCGCAGAGCAGTATGACAAGGAAAAGGAAAGCAAGAACCCGAAGTTCAGTAAGGATCCGAAGTCAACCCAGGACGGTAGTTCTACACCGCCTGAAGACGAGGAGGAGGAGGGCAAGGAGCTGGAGCAGGATCAGCTTGATAGCCTGTACAAGAAGGCGCAGTCCTTTGATTTTGACACACCAATAAGAGAACCTTCGGACACCTTTGCTATGGATCTCAGGAAATACCAGAAGCAGGCCTTGCATTGGATGGTGAGCAAAGAAAAGGACGAAAAGTCTGACGATAAAGAGGTGTCCATGCATCCACTATGGGAAGAGTACACATGGCCTACCAAAGACATGGACGACAAGAATGTTCCCAGTGTAACCAACCAGAGCAGCTTCTACGTAAATCCTTACTCAGGAGAATTATCTCTGGATTTTCCTGTTCAGGAGCAACATTGTCTTGGCGGTATTCTGGCCGACGGTAAGTTTTACCACCCATCAATGATTTGGACTCAAACATTGTACGCTGACTAGCGCAGAAATGGGCCTCGGAAAGACTATCGAAATGCTCAGTCTCATGCATTCTTTTATCGGAACGTGCGTTTACCTTTACTGTTTTTCCCATAACCCATGATCCTAATTCCCATAGATCCGATATCTCAACGCAGGCCTCCCAGCCCGGTCCTTCGTCAGTCGCCAACCTGCCTAGATTACCCAAGAACTCGTCAGCTGTCGCGCCTGCACCAAGCACTACTCTCGTTGTGGCTCCTATGTCTCTTTTGGCGCAGTGGGAGAGTGAAGCCGTCAAGGCGTCTAAGCCGGGAACATTCAAGGCGATGGTCTACTATGGTAGCGAGAAGGCGGCTAACCTACAGAATCTATGCTGCGAAGCCAACGCTGCATCGGCTCCCAACCTCATCATTACTAGTTACGGTGTCGTGCTCTCCGAATTCAATCAGGTAGCTGCTCGTGGAGGAGACCGAGGGTCGCATGGTGGCCTCTTCTCCCTCGATTTCTTCCGTGTCATCCTAGATGAAGCGCATTTCATCAAGAACAGACAATCGAAAACTGCAAAGGCTTGCTACGAGCTCAATGCCCAGCATCGATGGGTCCTCACAGGAACGCCCATCGTCAACCGTCTTGAGGATCTCTTCAGCTTGGTCCGGTTCTTGCGTGTCGAACCGTGGTCGAATTTCTCCTTCTGGAAAACTTTCATTACGGTGCCCTTTGAATCAAAGGATTTCCTGCGTGCTCTCGATGTAGTGCAAACAGTCCTCGAGCCTCTCGTCATGCGCCGCACAAAGGACATGAAGACGCCAGACGGTGAAGCTTTGGTCCCTCTCCCGCCACGAACTATTGAGATCGAGGAGCTCGAGTTGTCCAAGCAGGAGCGAGAAGTCTATGACTACATCTTCACTCGCGCGAAGCGCACTTTCAATGCCACCATGGAAGCAGGAACGCTGCTGAAGTCTTACACCACCATCTTCGCCCAGATTCTCCGGCTGCGCCAATCCTGTTGTCATCCTGTGCTGACACGGAATAAGGCTATCGCTGCCGAAGAAGAGGAAGCTGCAGCCGCGTCTGATGTAGCGAATGGCCTTGCTGATGATATGGACTTGCAAGAGTTGATCGAACGATTCACGTCAGACTCGGACTCTGGCGAGCAGGACATAACCAACAAGTTCGGAGCTCACGTCCTGCAAGAGATCCAATCGCAAGCGAACAATGAATGTCCCATCTGCGCCGAAGAGCCAATGATAGAGCCTGCCGTGACAGGCTGTTGGCACAGTGCCTGCAAGAAATGCTTACTAGACTACATCGAGCATCAAAAAGAGAAGCATGCTCTTCCACTATGTTTCAACTGCAGGGAACCCATCAATCAGCGCGACATCTTCGAAGTGATCCATCACGACAACGATGACGAGGATGACCTTTACAGTGCCACACAACCAGGCCAGGCTTCTACACCCCCACGCATTACCCTCCGCCGCATCGGCTCATCCTCATCCGCCAAAATCGCCGCCCTGATCTCCCATCTCAAAGCCCTCCGCGTGAACAACCCCGGCACCAAATCCGTCGTCTTCTCCCAATTCACCTCTTTCCTCGACCTCATCTCTCCCGCCCTCACCCAGGCCAACATCCCCTTCCTGCGCTTCGATGGCGCCATGTCTCAAAAAGCCCGAGCCGCGGTGCTCCTCGAATTCGCTGCCTCGCAGACAAAGAAAAACGGCCATGGTACGGTGCTTTTACTGAGCTTACGCGCTGGCGGTGTTGGTTTGAATCTGACGGCCGCGAAGAGAGTCTTCATGATGGACCCGTGGTGGAGTTTCGCCGTGGAAGCGCAGGCTATCGACCGCGTGCATCGGATGGGGCAGGAGTCGGAGGTCAAGGTCGTGCGGTTTGTCATCGGGGGCAGTATTGAGGGGAGGATGTTGAAGATTCAGGAGAGGAAGAAGTTCATCGCCAGTTCGTTGGGGATGATGAGTGAGGAGGAGAAGAAGATGCAGAGGATTGAGGATATTAAAGACTTGCTGTCGTGAGGCTGCGAGAGGGTGTAGTATGCTTAGTGGGTGGGTGAGTTGGAGGTTTCTGTACGGGTAGGGTGGATGCTTGGTGCTTTGGATATGCTGTTGCTTGTTACAATATTGTAAACGTCTTGTTCAGGGAGAAAATTTGGCTGTACATATATTAGCATCAAAAACTTAGGATATAAACACATGTGGTCACCCTGTCGCGTTCATCTATCGTCTATCAAAGAGTATTACTACAATGAGGTCTTCCATGCTCATTCGGAAATGGCGTCAAATCTTGAGGACACATCCAAGCTCCTTGCTCATCACCAGGCTGAGCCTTAACTTCTGACCTCTTCAATGCCCACTTCTCTTTTTCCCTTTCCCTTTCCCTGACTCCTTTTCTTTCCCATCAAGTCCCCCAATACATCTCCTGCCCCCAGCCCCTCTCCACCTCCCTTTCCCCCCCCGCTTTCACCTTCGTCATCCTCACATTTTCGTGCACCATCTCCCGTCTTCTCTTCCAGCACACCCAACCCCAAATCCATCTCAATGTACCCTCCCTCCCGGGCCCCTCCTCCCACCCCCTCAATATTCCGCTCCTCCAACCTCCCTTCCCTCCTCTCGGTCTCCAAGACTTCATTCGCACTCTTGATCTTCGGCAGCAGCGCATTCAGCCTCGCCTGCAGATGCGACAGATTATCGGCCGTAAGCGAGGCGACGGATAGAGGTGGAGGCAGTGAAGCGTGCGTGCTGCTGAAAGACGAGAGGGCGGAGTCGGCGGAGGAGGACGATTCGGACGCGGATGAGGAGGATCTCGATGAGGAGGAGGCGGATTCGTCGTCTGCAGATGCGGATGCGGATGCGGATGAGGAGGAGAGGACGGAGACGAGGTCGGAGGCGGAGGTGGAGGATGCGGAATCCGTACTTGTGCCGCTGCTGGTGGTCGAAGGGCTGAGCATACGAGGGAGAAGGGACGGCAGGTGCGGGTCTTGCTGTCGTCGTTGTTGGCGCCGGGAGTCGGCGCTTGAGGTGGAAGTGTAGTCGACACTGTCTGTTTCTTCGCTGCCGCTGGAGCTGGATGCGTCGCTTTCGGATTCCGAGGGCTCGGAGCTGGTGGTGGAGCTGCTGTAGGAAAGGGTTGAGGGATGGAGACTCCGAGAGGGTGTGATCGGTGCTGGCGAGCCTATGAGTGTTTGGGGGCTCGGAGCTATCGACGGGGTCATAGCATGGGCTGGGGAATCTGCATCTGATGCCCCCGCCTGCCGCCTTCTCTTGCTGGAGAGGGTCATTGGTTTGCGGTCAATGTCTTCGAGGGCTCTTTTTTTGCTCTTCTCCATACTTAAGCGTAGTGATGCTTCAATGGAATCACTGATTATACTCAATGATGGGTGCCGGGTGATCGAGACAAGTCCCATGTTTGAGAGACTCCGAGATTGTCTAGCAATCCGTGGGGGACGATGATGGCAAGTTTTGGCGGGGCGGCTGCAGATCACTTTTCGGGCCTTCCCGTTCTTGCGCAATTAGCGCGGGACTTCTGATAGGGCTGGAAAGGAATGAGGATTGAGGATTCGCACCGCCTTCTTTTCGTTCACCGCTGGCATCTGTCCTTATATTCAAGAAAGCCCGTACATTCGGAAATCTTCGGTGTGTCAAGCTCGGGCTTCGCTGATTTATAAGATCTAGAAGTGAAGGGCAATTCATTGTATTATCCCCTTGCATCGACATGCAGACATAACTCTAACATTTTTGAAGGAGCCAGAGCTGACCTGACCTTTGGACGAGCCCTTAATTAATATTCCAATGACAACAACGTCATGACTTATGAGCTTTGAGCCGTCCAGGCCTTGAAGTTCTATCATCTCCTCAACAGCTGCAACTCTTGTCATTGTCAAGCAAGGTCGTCACGAATCATTCGTAAGGTCCTTTTCCTGAGCGTCTAGCCTGAAACACCGTCAGAGCCCCTCCACAGTCTCATCCAGTGAGTCAACATCATCGATTGCAGAGTGAATGAAGCAGACTTGCAACATGTTTATAACCTTGTCCCTGTTTGAGACTTGTTTTATCACTTGATGAATGGCCAGTAAGACTTATGGTCAACCCAAATGGTGGCGAATGACTTCTATATATAAACTCTGCTATCCCCGCACCTACCATGTACATTGCCTTTGCACTCGTCAAGTTTCTGATAATCTGTCTTGCATATTACACCATCTACATCTATCTTCTCTTAAAGTACTTGCAAAATCTATGCCACTATGCCGCTTACTCTTGATCATCTATTGCGATCTGACCACGGTGCAAATGGCAGAATTTGTCTCACAGTCCATATCCAACAGGTCCTTGCTAGTCTCCCTACCCTTCTGAAAAGCCCCGGAATGGCTTCACCAACCTCGAGATTCTCCGGTACTGGAGCTCTAAGCCCCGTCTCCGAGGATGAAAACGTCAAAGTCGCCCGCCGATTGACACTTGTACGCAATCTCCGCGCACCAGCTTTCCAATACGCATGGACATTCTACCATGACAAATACACAGACTCTCAAAACTATGAAGGCCGTCTCACCCTCCTAAAGGAGGATATCGTTACCGCCAAACCTTTTTGGGAGGTCCTGAATTCCTTCCCGTTCGACGCTCTCAAGTTGAAGGACTCTGTACACTTCTTCAAACGGGGGGTAAAGCCAGTATGGGAGGACCCCCGCAACGTCAAAGGCGGCTCATGGACGTTCCGCGTGCCGAAGGCGCAGTCTGAAGATTTCTGGAAGGAGGTCCTGATGCTCGCAGTCGGCGAACAGTTCGTCGACGTGATCCAACCACGCAAGTACCACCTACCTACCCAACGTTGCTCACCTCCACCGCTGACCCAAAACGCAGGCGACGATCTCTGCGGCCTCTCCATGTCCGTCCGCTTCAACTCGAACCTCATCACCATCTGGAACCGCGACGGCGCCAACGAGAAGACCAAAGATGGCATCCTGGCCGTCGTGCTCGAGAATGTCTCGCCCGAACTCAAACCCCAGCCGAGGAACTATTACTACAAGAGACACAGCGAGCACGCCGGGTTCAGCGAAGTCGTCGCGAGGGCGAGCGAGAGGTCGAAGGAGGCGGAGGAGGGGAGGATAGCGGAGGCGGAGGTTAGGGGCCCGGAAGGAGACGAGGCGCTGTTGAAGGATGTTGAGGGGATAGACCTCAAGGAGTTGGGTGGAGAGGCCCCGGCATGAGGCAGGTTTTTGCGGATTTGTGAGTGGAGTAGCTGGGGTTTTTGGGATCTGGTTGGGAAGGGTTACGAGTTGGACGCATATTGTGGGGTTTGTGGCGGTCATGTCATGCATTTACGAGCCCACAGATTTCATAGCACGCGGCATGTTCACGGGATTTGGCCATTCGTTCTGTCTTATCAACTCAAAGCGATTTCAAATGCAATCTGCTATCAAACCCTACCCTCCAGACCTTTACAATCCGCCTCTCCAAGCGCGAAACAACCTTACCCTATCCCGACGCTCGCTCCTGCCTACTCTCAACACCCACCCCCCCACCCCCATTCCTCCCCTCAAACTTCCTCCTCTGCTCCTCCCTCACACCCGGCGCCGCATTCACATTCCAATGCGTCCTCATGATCCTCTCAAACATCACCGCCGAGCTCTCCCCCTCCACCCGCTCCCCCGGCCCAAACGCCCCCACAACCCCACTCTCAAAATCCCTCGTGAACAACGGCGCCGGCGCCGCGCGCAACGTGTACACGATGCTGAAACGGTACGGATCGGCAGCATTGTTCTCGGCGGACGGCGCGCACACGACGCGGTGCACACCGGCTCTGTACACGCCGCGGGAGAGGAAGGCGAGCGTCTCGCCGGCCAGCAGCGTGGCCGTCAGTCCGCCCGAGCGCGCGACGGCGCCCGGGGGCAGATTGGCCTCATCTTCGACGGAGACCCAGGCGTTGGAGGAGGGATCGAGCGCCTGCAGGCCGGGGGAGCGGCCGACGACGAGGGAGAGCAGGCCGAGGTCCTTGTGCTTTTCGGCGTTGACTCTGGGCCCCGCGGTCGCGGCGGCGGGGCGGTCGTAGCGGAACATGCGGACGAGGGTCGGGGTGCGCTCGGTGGGGGGGAAGGCGGTGCAGGGGGCGACGAAGGGGGAGAAGACGGCCGGGTCGAGGGAGAGGGTGTGGGCGATGGCGGTGGTGATGCTGGCCAGGAAAGCGCCCGTGAGGTCCCAGGCTGTGTGGAGCTCCGGGCGGAGGGTCGAGGGGCAGTGGGTGGAGGTTTTGACCGTCATGATGCATTTCTCGTGCGGGATCTGCGAGTACCCTTCTTCGCTCGCGGCGGCGCCGCTGGCGGCTTGGTGGTTGGTCTTTTCGGGGGAGTCGGGGGGCAGGTTGAAGAACTTGGAGGTCTGGGCGAAGAGTTGGGTGTATGCTTCTACCATTCCGGGGTGGTCTGATAGGGCTAGAGGGAGGTAGCCTTCGGATGCTAGGAATTGGAGAGCGTGGTCGTCCGATACTTGTCTTTGGGCCATTGTACCTTTTCTGCCCGTGACCAAAATGAGAGAATGCCTCTCTTGATTGTCGTCAATTTGAAGAGTAGCGATAGGACCTATAGGACGAGAAAGAGAAAAGAGAGATGGATCAAGCGGGGCTCATGTCACGACGTCATCCAACCTCATTGATTCGGACTCTCCTGAAGGTGTTTGATCTCTAGTCGACTTATATAAGAATGCATCCAAAAGCCGCATACATACTTAGATATACCGTCGTACTGAGTGGCAACGAGGCGCAGTTTGGATCTGCCACTAAACTCATTTCGGAAGGTCTTGGCATTCGCAGCACTCTTACCAAATGGCTTCCTACACTGCAAAGACTTTTCCACTCATAAGCAACGACTCTCAGATATAGTGTCTTCGCTCAGTTGTTGTCGATTTTGAAGAGTAGCGACACAATCTAGGAAATGGCAAAAAACAGAGAATTATCTTACTCTAAGGTACAATTCAGTGGCTTTCAGATCTCCTTGACTTTTTTATATCCAGTCAAACTTGTAAATGTCTATACCTTTGAGCTGCATATCTGGATAGATGGAAGCAGGTGTCGGTGATGTTGTTTAGATTCGCCACCAAACTCTTTTCGGAGGCTCTTGGCGTTAAATACTCCAAACACAGTTGCGACCATTATGATTCACTCTCACTCAGTTTTTCTAACACCTTTACAAATTTCAGACATCTCTATCAAAGTGGCTTCGCGTTGTTATCGGATTCAAATGGATGCAAGAACTCCCGTACGTCTACAGAAAGAACATCAGACACGCCGGTGTCACTACGTCCAGTGAAGTAAAACAAGCTCGTTATTGGTGTGTGTTGTATGCCCCATCAAGCCATCCAGAAGCGGGACTGATCAAAGACGTTGAGACAACACCTACTCATGAACCATAACCCTCAAATCAAGACATAAAGGCGCCCAAGAAACAGAGCGATGTCGTTCTTCTCTTGTCTAACTAGACACTTCATTAGGATTACCGAAAGATTCAACACTGATGAAGAACCACCCCACCGTTCTGATCAAGAGGGATATCGATCCACAGAAAGAGAGTGGCGTGCGAGCAGGATAGCAGAGCTCGAGAAGTGGAAAAGGCCAGAGCAATTGCCCATCACAGCTGAAACCGTATTCCTAGGTTGGTTCCGAAGCAAGAAACCTAACTGCTATTTCCGCAAGACCAGAGAACCAGGGACCATTGATGACGCCTGGAACGGACTTTCTCTTAAAAAGCGTGAGCATTATCTGGCCAAAGCAAAGAAGAACGAAATCTACAACACTGCTAAGCTTGCCAAGTTTAACAAGCACTGCCCACTTTCACCCTCGGTGGTAGATCTATCATTGACATGGGCATCCCTGTCGGAGCGGGAGATCCAAGACTGGCTACTGATTGGACCACGCCATGCTGCATTGCAAAAGTGGAAAAGATATCGCTTCGATCATCCCAGGGCTTGCGGGGGCCGCGAGACACCTGTACCAGAAACACCGTTCCGAATCATGGACCTCCCCTTCGAATTGCGGCGAGGTATTTTCTCACTCGTGCTGAGTCAATCGTATCCAGTGCTTCAGTTTCCCTCAGATGGGTCGGCAGATACGCTAACGGGGCCGGTCGATGTGAGGCTCTTTGCTGCGAGCAGACAGGTGTTTGCAGAAGCTGTGAGAATCTTTTACGAGGAGAACACCTTCAGCATAGATACCAAGCCCAGCAGGTATTACAAGGACATACCTCTTTTTGTACGGCAGAGCACAGGGAATGAAGTGCCGAGACCGACAGATTTAATGAAGAGGGTGAATGTCAATGTAACATTGACACTAACAGATCGTACCGAAACAGACGATTTCCTTTTCCTTTGGAAGAAATTCTGCGAATTTCTGAGGACGTGCAGAAACCTGCGAAAGGTTGTGGTCACCGCGCGGAGGGCTCAAAGCTTCCAGGAGGCGATCGACAGAGCCACAGACCGGAAGATCGACAAATTGATTGAGATGTTGATGAATATCAGGAGCCCCCATGAAGCTGTTTTCTCGGATATTACGATATCTGAGGGATCAGTACAAGAGCCTTCATGTTGGCGTAAACGGCGGATAACAGGCATTATTTTTCGAAGCGGCTCAGGAAAAGGGGCAGCGATGGCCGCTACAGAGACGCAGTGGAGCACGGCGTGAGTGCAGGGACCCTACTAAGATCCGAAAGATCCGATGCTGGCGGCCAATCGTCGAAATCGTATCGACCAGAGTTCGGTCGGACCACAGTCACAATGCTTTGCGCATTACAAGCCATCAGCATCGATTGAGTCTCTAATGAACGAGCAAGAATGACTCACACATGTCAGATAGTCGACAATGCATCTTCGTGTCCTTCCGGTTCACATTGCGAGTCGGTAGACTTGCACTCTACTCCTTCAATCTATTGCCATCAGTGTTGGATCGTGAATGCGTGCGCGTCCTTGTGCTGCCAAAGCCCATACTTAAACGCCTCAATCGTTGTCCTTACGCCCCTGAAGATCACCGGAAGACCCCCGCCCTCCTCATGACTCCCTCGAAGTCCTTCAACCCTACCCCTCTGCCCACTCCACTGCCTCCATTGGCTTCCAATAACATATCCTTCATTGTCTGCTCCCCAACATCTTCCTTCAATTCCCGTGCCACCCTCCTCAAACAAGCCAATGTGATCTTGCCGTCCTCACCACCCAGACTCGTGAACAACCTGAACGCATCCTCCACTTCTCTCTGTTGGCTCTCCTCACTCCTGTTGCTCAGTTTTAGCGCCGCGACGGCAACGAAATGCGCATAGGATATAGTCCCAGTATCTTCAGGATCTGCGGCATCTAGCAAGTCTTGGAGCTCACTCGGCGAGGAAGCAGGGACGCCGAGAGCCGTGAGCGCTTGGCGCAAGGACCGGGAGGGCAATTCCTTGTCCGAATTGGCGAAGAGGGAGAAAGCCTCTTTAATTTCAGATTCGGTGGCTGCGCTGATGTTGTTCTCTTTGGCAAGTGCGGATTGGCGGGGTTGCTTTTCCTTGGGTGCTGGCGCTGGAGCAGCTGCGCGGCGTTTTGGAGGCTATTCAACAATCAGCATTGGGACACTGGAAAGGGAATGAGAGCTAGAAGTGCACCATGTTGGGTGTTTATGAGGTCACGATACGATGATGGTATGATAGGTGAGGGGTGGTCGTTTACACAAGCCTCGGTACGCGTGATTACCAGAACTAGGCAAAGTTGCGAGACGAGGTACAAATTTGTTCTAGTGCAGCAGTCTGATACAACAGTACATGTTCCTCAGGAGTGAATCCGATTGAAGGAATGTTTCGCACGAGACTTTGTCCTTCATTATTAAACCATTCATGACCGGCTTATTGACCTTATCGACAGCCGAGAGAGGCAGCTGCGGCTAATCTATCGTCTAGCGGCAACGCCACAGAGCCTTGGTGCCTCTCGCCGATGCCTCATCAGGTGCTCCTTGCGCTTCCTACTCTTGGCCTTCCAACACACGCACGGATTGTCCAACTCTGTGGCCATTATTGCAGCTACTTCCACATTGCTGCTTCCGCTGTTGGAGCAATGATGCGATTGGACATGATGTCTTTACAGGAGCCATCCTACTGCAGCTTTATAAAGACATCGTGTCCGTCGTATACGTGCTGGAGGGATCCAGCTGCGTAGCACACCCTCAGCTCGCATATGCAACGGACGAAACCTTACTGATACACACCTTCTCCTACGGGCCAAGCTTACCCAAGCTCCTGGTGCTTCATGCGACTTCATTACAAGAGGATTAACAGCCTTCGTAACCATATGTCTCCAACCTGGACACTTTCCCAAACACATCCATGAAGATTCTCATTATTGGCGCGGCAGGTCCTCATATTCTTTGAAACATCTCCATATCCTTAGACACGCGTACTGACAAGCCTCTGCAGGCCGAGTCGGCTCAGCCGCCCTCGCGGCATGCCTCACTAAGCAACACCACGTCACCGCCTTCCTCCGCAACCCCTCCAAGCTGCCCCCCGAGCTGCGCAACCACCCCCGCCTCCGCATCACCCAAGGCGACGCAACCTCGCACTCCTCCCTCGTCGAAGCGATCGGGGACACCGACGCCATCATCCAAGCCGCCGTCTACGGCTCCAACACGCCCTTCGGCACCTCGGATTCGGAAAAGGTCGTCCGCTGCATCATCAACGCCGTCAAAGAAGTGCAAGCGTCACGCCCGTTACGGTCGAGGCCGATAAGACTGTGGGTGATGTCCGGGCAGGTGTTGATGGACATTCCGGGGTATGCGGGCAAGATTGAGGGGGATGTGTTTCCGATCCATCCGGAGCATTACAAGAATTACGACTTTTTGCGGAACGATGCCAAGGATTTGGATTGGAGCTTGCTGTGTCCCGGGAGGATTGACCAGGGGGAGGTGAGGGTGCTTTTGTTTAATATTCGCTGAGAATTTCTGTGTGTGTATGTGCTCTGCGGTCAGGTTCTGTCCGAGGACTGACTTTGTTTTTTCTTTCGCACTTCAGCCCACGGGTCCTTTGGTGGTCACGACGGATCGGGTTGGGCTTTGGCAGGAACCTTGGATTGCGGGGAGGATATCTTTTATCGGGCCAGCTCTGAACGTCATCTATAATTGGAAGCAGCAGAGATTGACGTACGCTTCCGTCGGGGAATTCTTATCTAATCACCTCGGTCCTGGGGACGAATGGAGAGGGAAAAGGGTCGGCTTGCTCGAGGACGCGAGCAAGCATGTCGGAAATTATGATGAAGCTTAGTGAGCGGCTTCGCGACAATGTACAATACTTGTCCTGTAGACAAACCAACCCCGTGCGCTTGGTCGCTCGCTTGCAGGTTAGACACGACTTGTACAACAACGAAGGCTAGTCGTTTTTTGCACATATGATTTGACGAAACTACATCACACGACACTACACGATGATCCCGACTCAGGCAAAAGTCCCGACGAAGGATTGCTGACAGCTTTGATCCCACATACCGCATCAACCTTCCCCAACCGTGCCAACGCCCGCCCGCTGATGGATCTAGCGCCCCCAGCCCACCCAACCTACCTAGGAAACGCCCGGCGCAACCGAGAGCTGCGATTCGGTCACCCGTTCATCCATCCCGTTCTAACAAAAATCACACAAAGACGTGATAAAGTAATCGCGCAGGGTGGACCGGGGCTCTCGGGCACGCGTGGAGAATCTCGCGCCGCGCTGCTGATGATGAGGTGAGTAAATGACACGTGGGATAATGATGATGCATGCATGCATGCACGAGGATTGTCATGGCATGACGTCTTTTCGGTCAGGCTGGACGCAGTAAAGGAAAGTACTTTAGGTAAAAGTGAGTAAAAATGCAGCCGCCGGACGGAGAGGAGGGTCGATTCATGAAACGGGGTATGTGAAAGGCGGCTTTCGCAAGCCTAGCCCTTGTGGGGCAGGGCTTGGGGCTCGTGTCGACGGCGTAACTTTGCGTGGAGTTCAGCACTTTGCGACGAGCCGGCTATGTGTACCTTGCACGGAGAGACCGAGGTGGTTTTTTCTGTGATGAGTGATACTGTATACATAAATGGAATTGACAACTCGCTTGTCGCTCGATTCGGAAAGGGGTTGCGGACGGTAAGTCAAGAAACTCCGGATTCAGACGCAATATGCAAGGACTGCCATACCCTTCATGCACCTCCTCCATTGGCGTCTTTTCCCGCGTCCGGATCTAAGGGTTTCGAAGCATCGTAGCCCACCGCTTTCACAATGCCCAAGCCTTTCGTCCTTCCCTCCCTGAACAATATCCGATCGCCGACCGCCATATACTCTGGTCTTTGCACAAATCGGAATGCCACGGTCGCCCTGTCCCCTGTTCTGATGAACGCTCTGTCAATGTCGATGATGGCGCATGTCTGGCTGATTGGGCCTACATGCAACATGGCCTGATACTTCGTCTTGATGGTGGTTGCGTGCGAGAGGATTAGGACTTCGGCGATGAACTCCCTGTAGACTTTGGGAGGAGCGTCGAGTTTTGGGAGCACAACCATGCCTTTGCGGACTTCTTTCCTTCGGATCCTTTTCAGAGCGAAGGAGGCAGATTGACCGGCGCTACAAACGGGGACTGGGATACGTTTCCGTTCAATGGAGCGGATGTGGGTTGTGGTGAACTGGCCTAGGGAGTCAGGCCCTATCAAGACAGCATCGCCGGCATGGATGACGCCACTTTTGACAACGCCGGATACGACTGTGCCGACGAAGGGCACGGAGAAGGTGTCATTGACGTGGAATTCAAAGGGGGCTTCGGCGTCGTAGTTTCCGTGGTGCGGAAGAATGTTGAGGAAGGTCCGGACGAGGTCGAGGGATTCACCCGTGACGTTTGAAACTTGGAAGACAGGACAGATGCGCTGACTGACGAATTGCGTGGCCGTTTCGATGGTATCTTCTCGGTTCTTGATGAAGATAGGGATTTTCCGCGCGCCGGGTGATTTGAGGATGCGGGTAAGCTGGGTGATGGTTTGCTGGAGGATTTGAGGTGGGCAGATGTCGATTTTGGTGATGACTACCATTACTGGGACATTCAGGGCGAGGGCGATACCCAAATGTTCTCTGTGTACTGGTAAGTTTTCGTCTCAATTCCGGCTAGGAAGCTTCCGTACTTGCTCATTCCAATGAGACCATTATTTGCAGCGACCATGAGTAGGCAGTAGTTTGGGCTGCTACTCAGCAACCCAAAGACTGTTGTCCGTAGATATCGCTCGTGGCCGGCCAAATCTGTGAAGCTGATGACTTTTGCCTTTGTCATAGTTAGCCGCTGTGCTTGCTTGAAAACTTGAGAGCCATACTGAGCGTTTGCCAATCTCTTCCCATGACAACTTCCGGCCAGGCACATTTGAGGCAACAATGTCCCCGCGCGTATCGAAGCCCATGATCTCCATGCCGACGGAACTTGTCCGTCCACTTTCGATTTCGTGCTTATGCCTGAAAAGGTTGACCCGTGCTTTGCCTCGGCCATCGTCGAGGCCTCCCTTGACAAGCACACCCAGCATGGTGCTTTTGCCAGCATCCACTATGGGTTCGGTTAGCTGGAGAATTTGATCCTGTGAGCATCACTCCTACCATTTCCCACTACCGCTATTCGAGTCTCAATGACATCCTCTGGGGTTTCGGGCTCCTGCCGTATCATGATCTTCCCCATAGCACTCTGGTGCTTCTCGTTCATTGTCTCTACCTCTTCAGGCCCTCCCACATTTCGCGTCATAAGTATTCGGCATTCCGCCTGCAGTAACTTGGCAGCCCGCCGTATCCTGTCTAACGCAACGTCCCACTGCTCTTTCGAAAACGACATTGACTCTCCATTGTCTTCCTGCCCGAGGTCGAAAAGCGTCTCTCCATTGCCTTCCAACATGCGCTTCTGCAGGACTTCGCTGAGTTGTTGTAGAGTCACCTCAGCATCTTCGCCCGAATCCAAGAGCAGGTCTTTCAGTCGGACTTGAGTGGAAGTCTCGGCGAGATTGAGGGAATCAAGAATGTCAAGCTCAGCGTGCTCTTCACACTGGGTGCTTTGAGTCGAGTAGCCACTGTCGCTTGGGGCTACAGAGCCCGCGCGGCCGGCGGAGGGGCGGTTCTTTTGCTGCTTCTCGACGTAGTCGGCGAATTCACTCAAAGCCTAGACCACAAGGCTTGATCAAAATCACGCATCACGACCCAACATAGGACTCCATACCGACTCCCCTTTCCGGCGCTCATGCGCAGTCTGTTTTTGCATCCCCGCAGTCATGTTGGCCAGTAACAGATTAGGCTATCCTATGTCTTGGGAGATTGAAAACCCCTTGGCCAGCCATTAGAGGCGTTTCAGTAGTCCATTATCTTTATGTTTAACTTTATCTATTCAAAGTAGGAATAGTTGTGCATGTAATGGAAACAAGGCAAGAATGTTTGTTGAAGTACTTGGTAGAGTCGCTATCGATAGTGACGCATACTCGTAGAATCGCGCTTGAGAGTCATGCCAAGATCGTCCCCGATCGGGCATTAAAGTAAGCGCCGCCCTATCATTGCGAGATCTAGATCGATGCATGAATTACTTACATGGTACTCCTTTGCACCCAGGACCCAGTCGAGATGTGTGCTGAAAATCTACAGAAAATCATCTAACATCTCTCTTGAGTCCTCCTGTCTTCCATTAAATTACTGTTGTAGACTCTTGATTTCCACTTTTCTCTTCATCGATACCGCTTAGAGTAATAGTGGGCTTGCCATGAGGCAATGAAAGAGTAATTAAGCTCGCTTCACCCATTTTCAGCGCCTTCCTTTTTTCTTTGCTCCAGTAGCATGACTCATCCCTGCCTTGAATTCGATAACACAGCTATCAATGTCACACACATGATCAGAGAGGTAGCATCCATCAACGCCTATGACCGTACATGATACATTCTACTAGGCAGTGCATTCGGAAGGGGCGGAAAGCCGGCCAGATTGATCGCCAATTCTTGATGCACATGGACCTAGGTGCTATTTACATCAGTGCTCAAGACCTACCACCCTGCTACTACGCAACTACCCACATTCAGGGGTTGGATCTAATTCAACCAATCGCTGTCGGAGGATCCCATACACCATCAGCAAGCAGAACTGCAGGAAGCCGTCAGAGTAATTGATGCGCAAAATTCTGCGACGGTAGGGCTGTGCTTCGTCCTAGGCACTCGCGTTTCACTATGAGGATCAGCAACAGCTTTGCCCTACCTGTTACAGCATGGACGAAAGACGTTCAGACCAGCATCCAAACACACCTCGCTTCGCTCGACACTGTCCATTCTCAAACCCTTTTATGCAGCATGCGGCTTCCTCCGATGCTAATCTTCTATTGTTCGACCGGTTGCGTGTTCCAAACGAAGGGCATGTGCTGCCTCTTTGTAGCGCACGCTTTCGCATCTTCGCATTGTCCATATTCTTCTGCCTTGCGTAACCCATCATGGTTGGTCGATGTGTCGCCAGATGGCGAGAGTTCATACCACGCAGAGAACGCTCTGCATGAATTGTACCGAAGATCCTTTCAAGGCTGTTCCTATGTGAAGCCAATCGGCAACCAAATATGCATTCCCCCCTCAGTTGAGCCCGGGCGGACGGCTCTTGCCGTCTTCCTTGTCACGCAACAGGCGGTTTCCTATAAAACAGATTTGGCGCCGGAATTTCGGACCCTGTGCTTTGTTGATGGGCAGCTCTCCATGCCTTTCTCCCAATTAGGCAGAGCAAGATCTTGCCTTCTCCTTACATCCAGCCTCTGACGCTGCAGGCCTCGGATGGTTGTGACACAGCTGTCTGCTTTTTTCTCTCCTCAACTTCTATTTTTAGCGATATCAGGCGGTCTTGATGTCGAGCATTTCCCACTAAACAATTACTCCAAAGACCTATGTAGCCGAGCGAAAAGCCCACTGCTTCTCCTTGCGGTCCCCGCGACAAGTCGTCGTCTTGTCTCAACCCCTCATTCTCCTTCCCTGCCACTGCTGCTTCATGCTTGAGGTGGTCGTTATGAACAGCTCTCGCTTCCTACCTACAATTCGGATGGCACATTGTCTCCAGCCTCTTATTTGATCTGTGCCATCTTGTCATACGGTCGTCCTGCGAAAACCTTAACCAACGGAAGGTCTCCTACCCACTTCCTGCATCACGAAACGCGCGTCATTCTTCTTGTCTCATCCACTCAAGGCTCATCCACTCCAGTCTTCTGCTCAGCCTCTGCTATGTATACGCTGGGATTTGTTGCCTGAAACATCCTATTCAATGAAGGATAACACATTCTCTGTTCCATCCAGCCGAAACGTTCTCCCTTCTCTCTATGGTGTGGATAGCACGAGACCCTCTCGTATCGTTTTCTGCCTCTTACTTCGTCCCCATTGTCTCACAAGCCGGCAGCCTTATCATGAGTACAGGAGGGAGATTCTCGCTCTCTTCTTGTATTCTTGTATTGAACAAGTACAAACAGTAAAAGAATCTACATACACATCAATTCACCTCAGCATTACGCAAACAGCTTCCATACACCCACGGCATACATCCACAGCATTCAAGGCTTCATACAAGCAAAGAAAACTCACCAACAACATCAAACCACCAAACATCAGCCACGATGCCGGACCACCAACAGCCCTCATCTAGCGCTCAAGCGCCTAGCGGCAGTAGCAACACTCCTGCTTCGGAGGTTAAAATCGAACGCTTCGGCAAAGTCAGCGGCGATCATCAGCAATTCGCTGGCGCTTTGCCTGCATACATCACGATTGTCCCGGACGATAACGAGGGCCCTTTAAACGATCAAGACGGCAATCTGACCAGCACAGATTTGGTAATCGGAGGACATATGTTGGTGAATGCCACAGAAGAAAATCGTCGGCAAGCATTAGCCAGAGGTGAGAATGTTGATGATAGCACGGATCTCATGCGGTTTCTTCTCAAAATGGGCGATAGAGTCAGCCTGATATATTCTTCGGGAAGTCGTCTTATCGCAGTCAAAAAGATCAACTAAAGGAATGCAGAGGGTGTGGGTGAGTAATGGGCGGACATGGGGAGTAGTTGACAGGATTTCATGCCTCGGCAGCATCGAGAGTTCCGAGTTCATTGGGGTTCCTTTCGGCGCAGGCGCCATGATACATCGGACAATGATGGACTGCATTGCTCTTTCAGCTTCCAGCGTTTGCCCTTGTTTTGGCGTTTGGGAAAGGAAAGTCATGCATATCTGTTCTTGAGTCCTTTGGGTTGGCGTTCAGGAAGATCCATGCGTTGCTGTTCTTCGAGCCTTTTGTTTCTACGCCAGCACTAATACTCCAACCACGAGGGCTGCTCACTTGAGGGCATATGATCAATGAATATTTTGAACCACACGGGCAGATAAATCCCTATGACTTGATATTATATGTTGGGGCTGTTTCAGGGTGATCATAAGAGTCATGGTTAACGAGAATATTAATGCTAAAGAGTAGTGGTGGCAGTAGATATGTCCATGTGCCAAGGCGCTAGTCCTGCCACGGCATGTAACACTTCAGATCTTTTGTAGCCTCACTTCGCTTTCAAGCTTAGCTTATCTCTTCCCCTTACTCGAAACACGGCGTGAATGTAGCAACCATCATGCAAAGCTCGCAAACCAACATGGACACTGAACTCCGATTGCGGCCTTGCGCACGCTCTGCGTGCGACGCTCGTCGCAATCAATCTTCCACCAGTTCATGCTGTGATGGTACTTCAGTGCCCTTCTTTGTCTAAGGATGTGCCACTGATTTTACGTAGATAAGTGTTTGGATGCCATCGCACAAGCCTCGGCGACGCAGGTTGCCGACAACGTCAGCGATCAGACTCGATCAACTCCTCGCACAGGGATACTGCATCCTTTGGCACAATGGAAAGCCGCACTTGAGCGAGCAGAGTGTCTCTGTGCGGAAATGCTTAGGATGGGACTGCCTTCCTGCTGTGTCACAGAGCCTACTGAACCGAAAGTGGCCGGCCCGAAGAAACCTTCCTGCACTGGGAGCCTTGAAAGCACAACGAAGCTGAGACCAAAAGCTACCACTGGCGACCAACAAGTTTGCTCCGGCGTTATGTCTAATTCGAGGGCATGCTGCTCCTCGTCAACCACAACGAAAACAAGTTGCTCGTCTACGCCTGGCCCAAAGACTTCTGGCTCCAATCCACCCGAAGCCAAAATTACTCAGTGTGACACTCAAGGGCTTACCACGAAGACGTGTTGCCCTTCTACGCCCAGCACTAAAACAAGTCAAGTTCCAACCACCCAGCACAGCGGCTCCTCTTCAGATAGCAAGCTTCACGCTGGTCACCAGAACCTCATACCTGCTGCCCTTGATCTAGAGAAAGGCTCTAAGGTGGAGCACGCCGTCACCCATATCTCAGGCATGACATGTACTGGATGTGAGCGAAAGTTACAGCGCGTGCTCTCCAGTATTGCCGGAGTACAAAATGTCAAAACGAGCCTTGTTCTGGGACGGGCTGAGTTTGATGTTGATGCGGGGGTTTCAATAGTGGAGGTCGCCTCTTCATTGGAGAGACAGACCGAATTCAAATGTACTGTCTACCGGGATGGTCACCAGCTCGAAGTTCTTTTACCCGGACGTTCGTCTGCTCCAGCGTCGAGACTTGGGACCACGGTGGCCTCCGAGAAGGATTTGGATCTGCTTCGTCGGGGCCTTGCAGGTCCTACTTATCCCTCCGGTGTGCAAGACGTTCAGGTCATCGATATCAAGGGGCGAGAGTGGAAGTCCCGTACTGCTAACGATGGCCTCCGCCGTCGCTTGACTTTCAGGATGTTTCCAACCAAGCCTCAAAAGTATAGCGTGCGGATCACCTACGATCCTCGAATTGTTGGAGCTAGGGACCTATTAGAGAAAGGCTTCGGTGGTCCATTATCGCTGGCACCCCTCAGTTCAGATCACGCGACGGCCACTGACACTGACCATCTCCGCAAAACACTATGCTTAACTTTGCTGTCGGCGTTTCTGACGATACCTGTTCTTGTCCTGTCTTGGGCTCCACTACCCTCTCACAAGATCGCTTATGGATGCGGTTCGCTTACGCTGGGGACACTGATCCAGTTCATCGTTGCAGGCCCTTTCTATCCCAAGGCCGTGAAGGCCTTGCTTTTCTCTCGCATGATCGAAATGGACCTTTTGATTGTTATCAGCACTACCACGGCCTATATCTACTCATTGGTGGCTTTCGCTTATGAAACCAAAGGTAGACCTCTGTCTACGGGGGGATTCTTCGAAACCAGCACTCTCTTGGTCACGTTAATCATGTGTGGCCGACTCGCAAGCGCCTACGCTCGTCGGAAAGCCGCAGACTCGATTGCCGTGCAGGCTCTACAGCCATGCACAGCGATTTTGTCCGAAGACAGGAAGGAGAGGCTGATCGATATCCGTGAATTTCAGTATGGTGACCTGTTCAAGGTCCTACCGGACAGCATCATTCCTACAGATGGGATCATTGTGTCTGGGGAGACCGAGATCGATGAATCAATGGTCACTGGTGAAGCGGTTCCCGTACCCAAATGCCCGGGCTCGCAGATCATCGCCGGCTCTGTAAACGGCCCTGGCCCTATTTTAGCTCGATTAACGAAACTGCCTATGGACAACACTATCAGCAGGATCGCGAGTCTGGTTGACGAAGCCAAATTTTCAAAGCCCAGAGTCCAAGCGACTGCTGATCGAGTGGCATCTTACTTCGTGCCCTGCATTCTTGCTCTCACTGTCGTCGTCTTCTCGATTTGGATTGCAGTAGGGTTTGCGGTGAGAAACAACTCCATCTCAGATGCCATCGTCACTGCTATTACGTACGCTCTGGCGGCTTTGATCGTGTCTTGCCCTTGTGCTATTGGACTGGCCGTGCCCATGGTGATGGTTATTGCAGGTGGAGTTGGGGCCCAGCACGGCGTGGTCTTCAAGTCGCCAGAGGCCATCGAAAATGCCAGAAACGCCTCTCATGTCGTCTTTGACAAGACAGGCACTCTTACACAAGGGAAATTCGTTGTGGTAGAAGAAGTCTATTGCAAAGGGAATCGCCACGAAGCAGCTTCAATAGCCAAACAATTGGCCTCCAGCAGCAAGCACCCAGTCTCGCAAGCTCTGACAACGCACCTCGAGCCCCTTGACAACACTCCTATCAGACTCCAAAGCGTCTCATCTGCCGTCGGAAAGGGCATGCACGCGACCTTGGAAGGCCAACCCGTGAAAGGGGGCAATCCTTTCTATGTGGAAGCCGTCCAAGACCCCAACGTCCAACGTCTATCATCACAAGGGCTGTCAGTGTTCTGCGTTCGTCACGGCTCAACCCTACTAGCAATCTACGGTCTTCGCGACGCCCTCCGCCCAGACACAATATCCGTTATTTCGGCGTTGAAAGCCCGGAATATCCTCGTCTCTATCGTCAGCGGCGACTCTGTTACCGTAGTGAACAAATTGGCAACGGAACTCGGTATTCCTCTCTCCCGCGTCAAAGGCCAGTGCACCCCGGAAGAGAAAGCCTGCTACATCACCTCGCTCTCCGCTGCCCCACCGGAAGGCAAATATAAGAGTTCCACTACTACCACTATTTTCTGCGGCGACGGTAGTAACGACGCCGTGGCTCTTGCGCAAGCCGACATCGGCGTCCACATAGCCGGCGGCACCGACGTGGCCAAAAGCGCCGCCGACGTAGTGCTCACACACCAGTCACTATCTGGCATCCTGGCCCTTATGGATCTCTCGCGGGCATCCATGCGCCGTGTCTACCTCAACTTCGCCTGGGCTTTCGTCTACAATCTCTTTGCCATACTGCTCGCGGCAGGCGCTTTCGTGACAGCACGAATCCCGCCCGCCTATGCCGGCCTCGGTGAGCTTGTGAGTGTGCTACCCGTCATCGCGGTGGCGATGCAATTGCGGTGGATGAGGTTTCAATGAAAGTCATGGACAGCGGCTGGTAACTTCTATTGTCGTTTTATCAGTGATTGTTCTTTCGAGCTGAGCAAGGAGCGATGCTAGACTTGGATACTGCAATACTGTCCACAAGGAAGCAAGAACATAGAAGTAGGAGTTCTTACTGCATGCTAAGCTTCTTCTCGGATGAGATCTTATTCAGTAGGGATCCCAAGCTGAACGAGCCTGGATTTCGCTGGGCGAATCAAAAGCTCGTAATATCTCGTCTTAGCGACGATGACAAACGAACGTGCAAAGTCGGCTGCAGGGACAACGACGGACTTCGTCGTCATCGAGGCACCTAACATTATCGTCGCCGCCGATCTAGATAACCTGTCACGAGACGTCGAACCTTCTGTTCACTTCTACACAGTATTGAAAAAAGACGGATGACGTTTCGTATTTTGACAAGGGCAGCTACCGGTGAACCAAATACTAGATCGATTGTTGAGTAACGAGGCTGCGCAAGGAGCGTTCTCTGTGACTGTATTCAACAAGAGCAAAGTTTTTGTAGTATAGTCAGTGTGCTCTGGCCTCTCGTAATCTTGTATCTCGCTTTACTCTGACCATAGCAGCCAAAGCATGCAACACAAGCTTTACCACCGCACGCAATACATGACTATTGGTTACAGTCTCGAGCAGGCATGCATCACCCGCCCCGGAGTCCCGTAGACTCGCCCTCCTCGATGATTAATGTCTATCAATTTGGTATAGTGCTCCCCAACATTTGCCGAAAACCGATTCCCTCTGCGCCTCCGCTATGCAATATTACTCCGAAAGTTTCAACAGACCGGGACGAAATGCCCGATCGATTGTAGAAGGATATGAAGCGGCCAGCTCCTCCGTTTTAATGTGTAACACTGTTACGTGGCAGCCCAAAAGCATTGGCGCCAGCAGCGGTTGACTTCTCACGCTTGCAAACAGCGTGCTGAAGCAATTGGTGATAATTCCGTATTGTACATAATGAGGTAGAATGGTACAAGGGGTTTGTCGGACGCAGGGTTTGAGGGTACGTTGAATGATCACCGGCTCTTGAGGTCACTTAGACCTTACGAAAGTCGTTCAGCACAGGATAGATCATCTCGAAGGCTGTATATATCTCCTCGCGCACCTTGGCACCTGTCAAGACGATCTTTCCAGAGACGAAGATTAACAGTACTATCTTGGGCTTGATCATGCGGTATATCAATCCAGGGAAGAGCTCCGGTTCATATGAGGAGAAATGGTGATGTCTGCTGGCCAGCCCTTCCAGCCGAATTGGAAACTTAATATCGCAGGACCCAACGATATTTTGAATCTTGAAGTCCGTGAATCTGGCGTTGAACCCAAGCTTCTGGATGATCCTCGCATACTTCCGACTGGCTAGCCGACTATCGTCCTCTGACTTCGCGCCGGTGACAACCATCTGGAATCGTTAGATTGCAACAGAGGGGAGATTAGGAGATTGAATATGCACCTTGCCCGAAGCGAAGATCAAAGCAGTAGTCTTGGGCTCTCGAATACCTATAGCCAATCAGTATTGATACAGAGGCCGTGTTTCCGAATGGGACCGCACGCATGATTACAGCTGCAAAACGTTTTGGGTTGTATTCTGGGGTCTGGTCAGCACTCTCTTCCCAATGCATGAACTAGAGCTATGAGGCGCATCCGCGGACAAAAATTGGACACACCTGCGTTTCTGGCGTGAAGTGCTATTGTCTTGAGATCCAGGCGGCAATCGAGATTGACAGTGGCGACGATGTTCCTTGATCGGACATCTTTAAGCCTCAAGCTGGAGCAAGAGGCAGAGCCGGGTCTACTCACTGGAGCGTTGGAACTATGCCAGACACGCCCTGCCCAGCAGTATCGGGCAAATTGAGGGGTGTTATTGGTGCACCTCCACTGGCGCCTGGGTCAACACCATTACCCTGCTGCTGCCCGGGTATTGCCATTGCTGCAGCTCCGCCAGGGAATGATAGTGATGCAGGCGAAGTGAACGCTGTAGCCTGCTGTGCATTGGATGGGTGGGTAGTGAGGGTTTCCATGCTTATAATTGAGAGCTATGTTATGATTGAGCTGGAAGGAAGCAAGTCCGAATGTAGAAAAGGCACCAGTCGAAAAGTGTAATCTTGGAGCGAGAGTATCAGTGTCGTTGGCCGAGGCTCGTTTGTGAAGAGATAGGACGGTAGGACGACTGAACAAGTTAGGAAATTCATTTCGAATAGCTATGGGAGATCCCTACCTTGTGCGAAAGATAGATAAATGAATATCTCCTTCGATGAACACGAGTTGACGTCAGCCGGGGGAGACAGAACCAGAATTGTCCAAATTCTGCTCAGAGAATGGTTATGAGGTGGCTTTGATCGAGGTAGAATGCTATGAGGTTGGTGGTCCTTGATCGTTGTGTGTTGCGCAAGTTTCCGGGTGGTTAAGCCAGGTGTGAAGGATAGACTGCGATCTCCGTTGAAGTTGAAAAGAGCGAGTAGTAAATGCTTTCAAATGTGATGTTGTTGGACAAAGGTGGAGAGGAGACTTCAGACAGCCTCGAGTGAAGGACGACTGCCAAGAGTGCGACGGTTTCAAAATCTGGGGGAGGAACAGCTGCGACTTTATACTCCCACATTGTAGCCGCGAGGCCGCCAAGCTTTCAAGCTATTTTCTCTAGCGCTCGTCTATCCGCTCGTCGCCTATCGCTACTTTATCTTTTGCTCGAAGTTCCCACTCGCTCTCTACCTTCTTATACTCAAAATTTATTGTTGTCGCTTTCGCATGATATAGTCCACATCACGAACTCGTATTTAACGAGATAATAACCCGAAACTGGGCGTGAGATAAGGGTTCGAATTTTCTCTGCTTGATGGGTGCCTTTTGGGCTGTTGTTGGGCCAGAGGATGTACATCAGCGAGCGTGCCGGAATACGGGATCATGAGCTGACAGGGAAAGGTGAGCATAGGTACGATCACAGGCATTCTTCCCAAACCCCACAGTCGCCTATGTACCTATGGCCGACGCCTTGTATTACTCTCTCCTCGAAGCCATCTATAATGCTCTAAGAACACGGGGCGTGCTCGAAGGAGACGGTATATTAGTCTACAATGGCCGCACAGTAATCTGCATCGAATGACCCCAATTCAGCGCCCGCTCCGCATCCCTCTCCAATTCATCTCTGAAATAGCTTTGTTCGCAATCTGCGAGTGTAAAATCTTCCGGAAGTCAGAACAGCCTCCGCCTTGATATATATGAGTACATTACGACAATGGGCATGATACGAACGAGGGCGTGAGCGTGAGATGGTGATGGGACATATCGTTGCTTATGGGGCGAATGCTAAGAGGGCTATTGTTGCTGTTTTGGGGAGTTGGGTAAGGATGAAGAGCAAGAGTAAATGCTAATCATGGTTATCTGCTAAGAGGCTTGAGGATACATGGAGTAAAATCGCTGAAAGGAGAGCGAACTATCAAACCCTCTTCGGCTACGCGTATTCTATACATGTAGATTCTTGTGCATATAGCAATGGCTAGAGGTAAAAAGAAAGCCACATTGCAACAAAGATTCAGCGTGAAGTCCAAGGTGCAAATGAGTTATTGTAGATTGTGCGCAATGCCACGCAATCTAGTAAGATAAGGCCACGCTGAGCCTGGTACTCCTAAGACTCATTTCAACCGATGATCCAGACATTCAAACCGTTTCCATGCGATTCTCAGATGCACTGAATTGGCTATGGACTATCATGAGAAGTTTTCTTAGGTTCACGCTCCCTTCTACTTCCCTATTCGAGTACTACTCGTCGAGACGGACAGACGTCCGCATGAACACCATCCTTTCCTTGCTAAAGAGATTTTGTGTCTGTATGCTTTAGACCTTTGGGCGACTGAGACAATCATCTGACGGCGGATAGCTGATAATGAGTTGCTGCTTCAGCTGGCAGCCTGTGGTGAAATGAGCACTACGGAATCTCCTATGAATTGAATGAGTCTCCATTGGAAATCGAGACGGAAGTCAGACGGCGAGTCTCATGACCTACCTCGAACGAACAGCATCTCCGACTGCTTCTTAATGGTCTACGGCCAATTGATCAGCATGAATATTAGAATGGCGTAGCGTGGCTAACCTTCACAGTCTCTTCTTCTTCGTCGTCATCCTCCACTACGTAGATGGTCTCCTCCACTTCACCGAGCACTAGGTTGCAATGACTATCATATGCCTACGTACATGGAACACTCAGTCAGTAGACCGTTTCCTGAGTATCCCCCAGTTCATGAAAGTAAACATACATGTAAACGTCCTTTGAGCTCTCGGTCTCCTCGTAGCCTCACGAAAACGATTTCATCCAACGACAGGCGAACCAAGTCCAGCGGCTCCGACACAGCTGCCGTATCTCCATCACCAGCGTCTGCCATCTTAGGTTGCAGATATTTCTTGAAAACCTCACGTGCCGGCAAGGAGCGAGTAAGTGTGCGGAATTTTTGCGCCCTTAGCGCGGCAAATTAGGCGCGAAATGAAACTCCAGTCTTGAGTCACCTCAGCTATCGAACCAACACTTGCATCAAATGTTGTTAGACCTGGCTTCAAAGTTATTCTGGTGTTCCTTTCATATCTATGGCACCTTCAGAAAGTGCACAGGGTGACACAATGCCCTCCGAAAAAGATGGGCTTGATAAGAAAGTCACAAACGGCGAGCAGAAAGTAGCCTCAATGGCTGAGCACATACCAGGAACAAACGGCACGGGCAAAGCAGCCAAGGGATCAGAGCAAGGGCAAAAGTTGGCTGATGTGCCAAAAGAAAAGGAGCTGTCAGGCAAAGAGAAGAAGGAATTAGCCAAAGCTCAGAAGATTGCGAAGAGAGCGGCAGAGAAACAAAAACAGCAAGGTCAACCAGCGGTCGACTTAGTTGCGGGATATAAGGGAGACCTTCCAAATGACTCAGGAAAAAAGGGCCCCTTGGGCCCAGCAACGCCTGCGAAGACCCAACACAAAAAGACGGGCTCTACCAGCGCAGGGGCGCAGTCTTCTTTGCCGCACCGACAAGCTCTATCGCATGCTGCACCGGCCGTTGCCGAGCCAGGAAAAGAGAACAAAAATGTCGCCCTTTTCGATCATCTGTATGGCCACCCCAGAAGAACCACGGTTGCAGGAGCGGGTAAAGATGTTCACCCTGCTGTGCTAGCTCTAGGAATACAGATGAGGAACTACATAGTATGTGGGAGCAGTGCTCGATGTGTTGCCATGCTATTAGTATTCAAGAGGGTTAGTGCGATTTTTGAAGTCGAAGTGTGCATTATTAATCCCTACGCAGGTTATTGAGTCGTACACGACTCCTCCCAGAAACTCGCTACCACGCCATCTCACCATACTTCTCTCGTCCCAGATCGACTACCTTGTTTCTTGCCGCCCTATCTCGATATCTATGGGCAATGCCATACGATGGCTGAAAGTGGAGATTTCCAATGTCGATGTCAGTACCCCTGAGTCGCAGGCCAAGTCCGACCTTTGCGACTTGATAGACACTTATGTCCGAGAGAAAGTCACGGTAGCAGACCAGGTCATCGCAAACAAGGCAAATGACAAAATAGAGGATGGCGATGTCATCATGACATTTGCCAAGAGTAGCATTGTTCAGCAAACCCTTGTAGAAGCCTTCCGGAGAGGCAAAAGGTTTCGAGTCATCGTCGTTGATTCGAGACCGTTACTCGAAGGCAAAAACCTAGCACGAGCTCTAGCAGACCTAGGCTTGGAAGTACAATACTCCCTCACCCACGGTATCAGCCATGTTATCAGAGACACAACCAAAGTGTTCTTAGGTGCTCATGCCATGATGAGCACGGGGCTCTACTCTCGAGTCGGTACAGCACTTGTCGCTATGAGCGCCAAAGAAGCCAACGTTCCCGTAATCGTGTGCTGCGAAAGCGTCAAGCTTACAGAGAGAGTGGCCTTGGATAGCTTCGTGCACAACGAGGTCGCCCCGGCTGAGGAACTGATGATCCAGGGCAAAACTTCTTCGCCATTGTCCAATTGGGTAGACGTACCAAATTTGCAGCTCCTCAATCTCATGTACGATCTCACGCCTGCAGAGTATATCAACATGGTAGTCACGGAATACGGCATAATACCTCCTAGCTCTGTACCGGTCATTATCCGTTTGAGCACAAACACTTGAAAGACTGACCTTCTCATACGAGGTTTAAGTGACGGCCCCGAAAACAGTCCGCAAATCAAAAGCACCTTCCAGCTTCATGTAATCCAGCTGAAGGGATTCTATCCTTTAGCTCATCTAGTTGAACGGGAGCCTGGAGCATCAAGGAGGCGCTTGATTTGGAACATTGAGCATCTTTATGGTCCCAATAGATGGGCGGACGAGGTTTGGATGGTCAACAAGAAGGCTACGGGCACCGCCATCGAATCAGTGATAAATATCCGCAATCACGTGAAATCGCTTCACCTAAGGATACTCACAAGCAGAGAATATCGTACAACATGGAGCTCAGTAGTAGAAAGCAGCTCCTAGAGCGGGAAGCTTGCCTACGTTTTGCTCCCAACCGTTCCCATCTGCTCTTAGAACTGGGCGTCCAGAGGCGACAATACGGGTCCCTTATCCCCAACAATGACCACTTCCTGATTCGAACGCATTTGAGATGCACCACTCTACAGGAATGATGTCCACAGTATCCACCCAATTGCCATACCGTTAACTCTGTAAATCCCATGTCTTGAGGGCTCGCGTGCACCAAGCTTGGCTCAAGGCCTGGGGATTTGACCTATCTGCGACGGTGTGAAATGGAAATTCTCGTTTCCTCGTTCATAGGAACACGAAATGAATCACCAAGTGGGCAGAACCCCTACTTTTTGCTTCCGAATATACTGTCACTGTATTGGAAAGTGTTGAATCACCCGACCATACATCTATGAAATGGTTAAGGGCAGCATTGTCATACTTCGTTCCGGATTGCAGAATCAGTTGACTTAAAGTGTTCGATTTCTAGCTCCTACAACTCTAGATTTGCACGATCCAACAGGTAGAACCCCTATTCTTTTTCGACCGATCGCCAGCCCAATGGCCCCAAGATGTTTACAGTCATTGTCAGCGCCCCAATAGTTTCCGATCCATGTTTGTACTCAGTGCTCCTATAAAACCCGTTCCATATGACTGCTCCTTCTCAACCCTGTCCCTCACAGCGCTGGATGTCTTTGAGCACGGCGTCTTCTTCCTCTGTAACAGGAAAGTCCTCATCTCCAAGCAAGTCTCTCACCCTGTTATTCAGGTGAGTGATGCAAGCCTCAACCCGAGCCGGCGCAGGGTCATCCGAGTCCAAAGGCAATTGCCCTAGGCGCTGGATGTCTCGAGCTTTCCACATGACCGGATTCCGAGCCATTTGAGCCGTGCTCGTCCCTGCGGGCGCAGCTGCCGCAGCCTCCGTCGTCCGAGTCGTCACTGTGGCTACGTAGCTGGACTGGTGCAGTTGTTAGCCAGCGAGTACCATGGATGCGGCCAGTCTTTGGGGGCTCGTACTCCTCCTGTTGGAGTCATCACGATCACCGCAGACACCGTTTGAGACATGACACCCTTCTGAACTCCCTGGTCTGCGTATGCTGGAGTTCGGTAGGGGTAGCAAATGGTGCTCGAAGACTAGAAAGTTTTACACATTAGTCCAAACCTTGAGACTATGTCCCGTTGATGCTGTCATACTTTGGGGAAGTCTTCGAGGGATACTATACTTGGAGGCACCGTGAGGGTAGGTGCAGGTATAGGTGCTGAATCCTAAAGAGGTGCACGAATCAGTATGCGGCTGCCATGAAAGCGCCTGCGTCTCGAGGGCATATACCTTGTCTGCTGTTGTTTATATAAAATTCTTCTCTTTCTTTCGGGGGTATATACTTTCCCCTCTGCTATCTTTATAACAACGTTCCCGTTGCAGAAGAAACATTCCTCGAGGGGAAACCCTGCCCTTATGTATACGCCCCAGAGCCCTACGGCACCCGCTCATCGCCAACGTCAGCTAACAATCGCCCTCCACGACCCTCGTCCGAGTTGGCCATTGCGCTGGCGATCTCAACTGCAAGGACACGTGCATGAACCAGCGATGCCGAAAATAAAAATTTCTACCTTCTTTCCTTCGGCCCTAGACACATCTCCCCATCGTGATAGGTTGCCCGCTAAGCCGACGCCTGGCCGCATGCGCCGGTGGGGAAACAGACTCCACCACTTCTCGAAGTGCAAACATTATGATCGTCTGGTCCAGGGCATGCATGAACCCACAGATAGCCTCCGCCGGGACCGCCGCGTTCCGAGCCTGGGTCCCTCCCACCATCCGGGGTTACGGCCGCTGCAGCGTGCAAAGGTACGGTGGAGCGATTGTCTAGACTCCGGTGGGGAAATCAATTCGCCTATTTTTGACCGCTGCGTCATTCATGATGGTCTGGTGCAGGCTGTGTATGCATGTGCCCACGGATTGGAGTTCGTAGTCCACATTGCTTCGTTCGATGCTTACCTCAGTCCTCAGATCTGGGTATACTGCTAGCGTGGAAGATGTATTGCTAGCGTGGAAGAAGTTGCTTGCTTGCTTGCTTGTTTGCTTGTTTGCTTTCGCGCATGATGCAGCGCTTCGACGTTGGCGCTTACGGCCGGTGTGCGTGGAACGAGTCTTTTCGAGTCGGGGATGCGTCATGCCGTGCATGGATGCACGTCTCTAGCCTGTGGATAAATATCCGAGAAAGAGAAATGGCCGATCGGCTTGGGTAGGCGATTTAGTGTAAAGATAGTCTATTCTCATCTATGTAATGCCGTCCGGATCATTTGCTCGCTGCGCTGCGTGTAATCGTGGCTTGAAGAGACGTGCAGCAGTAAAGCGCAGCGCTGATGTGGAAAAACCATGGCGGTCTATACTCTTGCCAACGCCGAGGAAGAAAAGCTAGCAATCTTCCTGCAAGTACTGAAGTGAGACAATAGTCTATAATGCTCGCATGAAGGATTCCGTTTATCTGCTTTCCTGCCCCGCATGCATTCGAATACGAACTTCGATTCCCAAGTCCGTGCTGGTACCCTCGTACCTCACATAACGGCGCTCCCCGCTTTCCCATCTTCCAACGCTTCCCCACTGCCGCCAACGGCGACCCCCACGCCCTTGAGATACTTTTCACTCTCGCCAATCTTCTTCCCCGCACTCTCCCAACGCTGCCTGATCTCCCTCCTTCTCTCGTCCGCCAATGTGTTTAGTGCGGGCCAATAGACCCCGTGCTCATACTCAAATTCCACGTCCCCACCGTAGACTTGCATCAATTGCTCCGGCGGCACGACCTTCCTCATATCGACATCGAACTTCATCTTCTCTCGCGTCAAAGGATCAATAAACGGGTTGATCAGCTTGAAGAACCCCCACACGATCCACGGCACATTCTTCACGCAAGCGTTGCCGAGCCTCTCCGGGTAATGATTCTGCAGGATCGACAGCGTCTGCCGGCCTTGCGCCACCGAAGGATTCTCGCCCTTTCGACTCTGCTTGAAATCGACCAAGATCGCCAGCGTCTCCTGCCCGGGCGGCATCAGGTCGATGGAGCGCTCGAGCATGAAGACGAGATGCTGCATCTGCTTCTCCCGCCCCTTCGTGTTCTGCTTGTGCGGGTTCAGGTACAGGCAGGGTCGGCCTTCGTTGTCGTAGCCGAAGATGACCTGCTTGCCCGTCGCGTTCTCTTCGGATATGTAGTCCGCCGTGTGGCTCTCGACATTGAATTCCCGGCGCCAGACCAGGGTGGCTCGCAGGCGGGTGATGGCGTGGGCTTCGTTCCATTTCGATGCGCGGAGGTAGCGAAGGAGGCACTCGCGTGTTAGCCAGAGGCGTTCGTTGTCGGATAGAGGGGTTTTGCTGGCTGTTGAAGGGGTTGACGATGTAGGTAAGGCGGTCCATGATTGGACAATCGAGAGGAGGGAGGCGTATTTGGCTTCTTGGTCTGGAGTGAGGGTCTTTGGAGGTGCTGGGTGGGAGTGGGCGGTAGGCTGGATAAACGGGGTAGAATTGGAGCCATCGAATGTAGTATTCGAGTTTGCAGGCGAATGGTTGACCTCTGTTATGTGACCGTTGGCCTCTTTATCATGCCCAATGTCATCCTGCCTCAGCGTCTCTTGCTCCATGTCGTACGCGATTTTCGCTGTCTTTTATGTCGTGTAAAGCTTGCCAGTGTTCTTCTCTCCCTATCGTGAATTCAATCAGGGTCTCGATCAGTCACTCGATCAATGTCTAGAGGGAGCTTCACACCGTTTTTCAACTCAGCCTTAGATTCAGGGTCAAGACGCCAAGATCTTGGAGGTTCAAAATGATTAGATCTGCGCCACAAGCGAGTACGCTAGCGAACTCTGTCCAAGAGCTAAACTTCCAAGTGATGAAGGTATTCCTTCCTTTCAATCAAAAACTTTCGCATAACGCTCATGCTATATTATTGAGCTATAGAAAGTAGATATATATATTTAAAGTACTTAGTAAGACTAATATCTCTTTAATTAACTTTAGAGAACGTTTATATCTCTATAACTATATCGAATAAAGTTAATCTTAATAAGATTATAATAACTATAATTTTAAGAAGCACGTATTTATATTAAAGTTGTTAATAAATATTATATTAAAAATAATAGATAAAGATTAGAAATTATTAATAGACGAAGTAGTTATTATCTTTAGAGGCGGCGATAATATTTATAGAAAGAGTAAACGATAAATTTAAAATTTAGATAGTCTTAAATAAAGTATATAAACTAGTTATTAATTTAAGTAATCGAGATAGTAATATAAAGAAAAAGATTATATATATTAAGTATTAGATAGCTAGTTTAAGAAGTAATATATCGACGACTAACTACGTTAGCGTATTAGATCGATTCTCGATATTCTTCTTTATTATTAAAGGAATTTCTATTATATTATTAATAGTATCGAAATAAGATTAAGTATTATATAATAAGTTAAATGAGATTATTATAAAGTTATAAGATGAGATAATAAGTAAAGTATTAAAGGAAAAGATATCGAGCGAGATAATTATAATAGTTAATAAATATATAAAGAATATAAATACTATAAGAAAATCTATTAGAATAATTAGAAGGCTAGCGAGTAGCGATATATATATTATAGCTATAAATAAGAAGAAAATAAATAGATTAAGAAAAAGTAAGGATTAGACTTTAAAGATAAATAATAGCGCGAGAGTAATTATTAAAATATATAGCCTTTTACTTTATAAAGTAAGAATTAATATATTCGATATTAAAGATATGGCTACGATAATTAAAAGGGTTTAGAATAAGAATATTAATATATTAAGTCTTAATATAGTATAACTAAACTAGTTTAGCGCGAATAAAGAGAATTATGATAAGGGTTTATTAATTATCGAATTAGTATCTCTAGAGAAAGAAAATAGAGTACTAAAAGAAGATTTAATTATCGATTTGAAATTATATAACTATTACGTCTATAATAAGTAATATAGATTAAAGTAATACTTCGTATATTGGAAATACGATTACCTATCGACTATATATTCTAAAAAGAATTATTTAGTATACGGGAAATACTTAGAAGAGTATTATTATAAAGAATATACGATTAATACTTATAAATATTCGGTTTACGAGGGACTATATAAGGCTTAAAATAAAATATATATAATAAAGAAGAGAGAGATAGCGAGAATAAGAATAGCGAGATAATAGATTTCTTTACGATTTATAATAACGAAGGAAGTATCGATTAGCTATTAAATAAGCGATTAATTAAATAATTACTTTTAGAATACGTTTAATTATAGGCGAAATAAGGAATTTTTTTTAAGACTAGCATTTACGCGTAATAAGCTAGTAGATAAAGATAAAATAATTAATAGAGAAGAAATTAGAGCGCTAGATCTTAAAAGAACTACTATATTAAATCTCTAGTCGAGTAAAAAAAGATATACTTCTATATTATTAATAAGAATCTTATCTAGAAATAGATCGCCCTCTAAAATAGTAAACGAAGTTAAACGATATAAGAATAATATAGTAATAAAGGAAATTAATAATCTCGAGAATAATAGATAGTCTCTAAGTTAAAAAAGTGATAATAAGAGAATTACGATCCTCGTTAATAGAAATAAAAAGAGATATATTCGATCTATCGACGATTAAGAAAAGAAGAATATTTAGAAAAAGAATATAAACTCTATAAACTAGACGGAGCGAGTAAGTAATATTAATAATAATATTAAGAAATAATAATATATCTTAGTTAGCTATTAATACTATAATATAATATAAGAAAATCTAGAATAATTATAATAGAACTCTTTAATAATAAAAAGATTTATAATATCGATATAATAGTAATTTAGAAGCCCTAAAGAAATATTAATATAAATATATTATATTATTCTCTAAAGAATAGATTTAACTTAATCTACCCCTATTATAATAATATATAAATATACTTCTATATTAATAAGAGAATATTATTAAAGTAATAGTATTTATTATATTATTTACTAAATCTCTATACTCTTAATATTAAGTTCGAAAATAATAGAATTATATATATATATAATATCTATAACCTCGATAACTAATAAATAAACGAACTTAATAAATTATATAAGACGCTTACGAAGTTTAAAAATAACGAATAAATTATACTAGGCGACTTCAATCTTTACTATATAATATAGAAGAAATTAAATACTTATATCGATAAGAGAGTAGAAGAATTAATATTTATAGCGAAAGAATTCGCTATAGAATAAGTATTACTAGTAGAAATAATAATATATAAAGAAAACTATTAAATAATAATAGATTTACTATTCGTTACTTTAGTATTAATAATAAATATTATTAACTATAATATCGAAAATAATTTCGAAAGCGAATCTAATTATCTTTTAATTTTTATAAAGTTTAAGCTAGTCGTAATAGAGTTAGTACTAATAATATATCGAAACTTTAATAAATTAAATATCGAGATTCTAAGAGAGATACTCGCTAAAGTTATAATATTAAAAGAGTATCTAATTAATTTCTAGAGAAATAGTAAAAATCTTATTAATAATAATATTAATTATTAAGTAGTAATTATTATTAACTCTATCTAAGCGACTATAAAGAAATCTATTTTAATTATTAAATTATCGCCACGATTTAAATCGAGATTTATATTAGAATATAAAAAAGTATAAAAATATTATAAATCGCTGAAAAGAAGCTAAAGAATAACGCTTTTAAAGAAAATATAAGATAAATATAAAGTCGTTAAGAACTTTAAAAATAATCTAATTAAGAGAACTATTAGAAAGGCGTTTAGAGAGTTTATAATAGAGATATATAAGTTATTATAAATAATATAGAAAAAGACTAAGTAGACTAGAAAATAACTTATAATATAAATATATCTCTCTTCGCTATTTAATAAAGATAAATAAAAATATAATAAATTAAACTTAAAGATAGATCTTCTTATAAGAATATTTTTTTTATTATTAATATAGACGAAGTTAGATAATATTAGCGTTAATATAATATATCTATAAGTTTATCTAATAAGTACGATTATTATAAATAAGATAAAAAAGACTATAATGTAAGTATCGTTAAAGAGAGTCTTAAGAGGAAACGCGATCTCTAATCTAATTCTTAAGAAGATTCTAAAGTCGTTACTTTCTTATCTATATAGAATATTTAATATATATATAATAAATAACTACTACTTAAAGTACTTTAGAATATTAATAATAATTATTCTTTCGAAGTCGAGTAAAAACTATTTAATTTCTAAAGAATATTAATTAATAGCTCTACTTAATACTATAGAAAAGATAATAAAGTTTATTCTTATTAAGAGAATAGCATATCTTATAAAGATATATAGACTTCTATTAATTATATATATAAGAGACTATAGATTATAATTATATAAATACGATATCTATTATCTTCTAGAAAGAATATATTAAATCTAAAATTTTAATAAAGTAGTTACGATGTTACTACTAGACGTTTTAAATATATATAATAAAGTCTCTTATTCTCGACTATTCTATAATCTTCGAAAGTAAAAAATCGATATAAGAGTAGTTAATTAGATAGAATTATTCTTATTTAATAGAATAATAGTATTAAAAATAAGCGAATACTCTATACTAAAGACTCTTATAGTAATCGAAATTTCTTAAGAATTATCGCTATCGTTTATACTTTATCTCTTTTATAATTTAGATCTTATTAATAAATATAATAATCGCGTCGATTTAGAAATAATAGCTATCGGCTTTATAGACGATATAGATCTTCTAATAATAAAAGACTTTATCGAGAAAAACTATAATACTCTTTATAAAATCTATAACGAAGTTTATATAAAGTAAGTGTTATAATATAAATCGAAGTTTAATTCTAGTAAATATTAATTATTATATTTTAGTAGAAAATAGAGATTTAATTTAAATTATCTTCTATAACTTAATAAGAGATAATATATTAAGATAAAACGCTTTATTTGCTATCTAGAAGTTAAAATTAACTTTAAACTTCTATAAAACTATTATAATAAAAAGATTTAATCTAAGATTATTAAAAGTATTAATATACTAGCGAGAATTATCGAATCGATATAAGATAATAATTATAAGAGTATAAGATAGCTTTATTAGACGATAATTATTCTATAAATAATATATTATTACTTAATATAATACTAGTCTAAAAATATTATTAATTATAATAAAATTTATCTTTTATCGCTATAAAGAATTTAATCTTAGATAAAAAGAAAGATAACTAAAATATTTAAGATTATATTTATTCTAGTACTTAATATAAAAGCGTATTTTTTACTAATTAAATAATAGCTAAATAAGATTATCTCGAAAGTTATTTTATAAATTATTATTAATCTAGTATATAGCGAGATTATTAAGCTATAATTTAAGCGATAAAAGTTTAAAAGAAAATCTAAGAAGAATAGAAAACTAAGTTTACTAAAGCGATATATTAATAGATTCGAAGAACGATACGACGATATTAATAAGATTAAGAAATTACGCTTTTTTAGCGCCGTTTCTAACTAAGAGCCTTTTAAAATAATAATTTATAAGATTAAGAAAGTCGCTAAAGAATTAATTAAAAGATTAATTAATAAAGATTATATAATAATATATATAGATAATAATAAGATTAATAAAAAGATAAAAGCTTTAGCTATATTATTAGATATTAATTCTATTTTTAATATCTATTTAGATTTAAGCGACTAGTATATAATATACTTAATAAAGTTATATAATATTCTTTAAGCTTTAATTATAATAATTATATATTAAATAAAGTTATAACTTAATAGAGTTATAGTAAATATAAATAACTAAATATCGATTTAAACTATCGAAGACTCGAGTAAGTATTTAAAATAGATCTATATAATATAAATAGTATAGATTATTAATTCGCTAAGATATCTCGAGATAGTAATAGAATTATATTAGATTTCGATATATATTAATATTAATAATAATAAATAGACGAATAGAAAGGCGAAGAAGACTATTAGTTAGTGAGAGTAAGTAATTTATAATAAAAGAGTAAAGATAAATATTAACGAAATAGTCTAATTATTAATTATATAGATAAGAATAATATCGATAATTAAGATAGCTATTAGAGATTACGCGATAAAATAATAGACTATTAAATAGGCTAATAAGAAGCGAGGTGGTATTCTTAGAAGAATCTAATTAACATCGTTAAAATAAATATAACTTCTATATTCGAGAGTTAAGCGCGCTAAGATATCGCTAATAACGTAAATAAAGATCGAGAAAATAGATCTTAAGGCCTTTCTTTATAATCGATAAGTATCGAATATAGAGAATAAAGAATACGAGTATAAAGCGAAGTAGACGACTCGATATATTCTTTATAAATATAAGCTATTTAGTAAGAAACGAGGAATATAATAGATCGAAGAGAGAAGAAAGATAAAAGAGAGAGTTATTACTTATAAGAATATGCTAATAAAATCATATTACGTCTCTATAGCGACGAACTTTATAAGAAATATAAGACGTATTAGATAATATTAAGCCCTTAATAAAGATTAATAATAAGAATTTACTAGAGTAGGCGGTTAAAAAGAAGAATACGATTAAGATAAAAGGGTCTTAGTAATATAGAATATACCCCTTTCTAAGGATTAAGTATCTAAGACGTAGAATTATAACGATAACTTATATAGCCTTATTTATTTGAGATTATATAATTAGTTGAAAGGATTAGATAGATTATGTAACTCGTATAGTCGGCTACTAGGGCAAGACTTCAGGGTAGTATAATGTAATCAATCAATCAATCAACCTTCCTTTCAATCATCGATGTTGATTTCCAGACTGGCACTGGCAAGATGGTTTCAATAGTCGTATATGTTGAAGCTATCCCTGCATCATGGCTTCAGAGCCTTGTATTAATCGTGTCTACCCCTATTTGCGCCTATCTTAAATCCGATAAATCCGACATAGATAGCTACTACTACCGTGGCTACCACTACCATGGCTACCACTATTCATTATTCAAATAGCCTACTACCGTAGTCTATCATGATGGCTAATGCTACGGTATTGTAGTCGCCATCTATAGGCCTGATATAAGAGACGTTGGAATTATTGAATTTAAAATGGGCGCAAATGGGGATAGACACTATTACTGTCGATGTTGCATTGCGGTTTTTATTCCTTACTAGCCATCTCTTTAATGTTGTGATAATTTTTCTTACTTACTGACGACGCATAAGCCTCATGTTCTCGTACACTCAAAATCCCTTCTCCTGCTGGAATGGCGATCCTGGAAACTCGTCTGATATCTTGTACTTCTTCTCCTCCTGAAATCGCCTCCTTCTCTTATACACTCTCCTGTACTGCTTGAAACACCTCGTTCAATATAGCCTTACGTCTTACTTCTGCAACAAGCCTCTCTTCAGATAACCATGCTCTAGACCATCACTGTCATTTCATATCTGCCAGCCAGCTGTGCTGCAATTGCCACGCAAAGGTCCATAGCAGCCGCCGTTTGCATCGCCTGCACTGCAACCTCAAGCAACGGATGCGCAGGATATTATCTAGCCAATACGGACTGCAAAGTCTTCGCGTACGGCATTACCGCTGCTGCGAATGGTTGTGGACTGTATTCCACGGGTCTGGTTGAGGGAGGGTTTATATATCTTGGGCAAGCCGCTTGCAAATTCTACGACCGGACTTGCTTCGTTTCATCGTGTGGTTCTGGGGGTCTTGCTACGACAATGTCGGCCGCAGCGACAACGACTGCTGCTGCGGTGGCGACAACACCACCTGCAACAACGTTTGATTCGAAGGTCATGTATAATCGGATGGGGAGCGCGTTGTATATATTGGAAATAGTTGTCATATATATGTCTATTCCGTTACTTCTTCGAATGAGAGAAATGGCTTCCTGGGAGTTTTCATCTCTCGCCCGAAAGTTTCGCGGCCCATAGCGTCTGTTCGCTCTGCGGAACAACATCATCTGGCGCGATCTTCTATTCCCTAGAAAAAATACATCTCTGTCCAAATACCTCTAATCTGGCCCTCCACTGTTTTTCCATTTGCGACTCCCTCCTTGGCATACAGAGATCAGCACGCTTATCTAGCCGACGTTTCATGTCGTTTTACCACAGGCCAAATCTTCTAGTGACTGACTCGTTGACTCGACTTGGGCGAAATCACTTGGGCACAATTGTTCGTTATCGATTTGCGTCTCTCTGCAAAGCTCGAAAAATAATCCTTGGCTAGTCTTTTCGCTCTTTGGCTGGCGATACTGTGATGATTGCAAGCCACCAGCCGTCCCATTTCCGCGCTTTCATGCTCTTCGTAGTGTGAATAAAACGAGAAGTGTGCTACTGCACTAGTGCAGCGACTAAGACATTAGCACGATAAGGCCACCCCAAGAGGCAGTGTGAGGTTCCGAGTTCATGTAAGCAGCGCGAGCGGTACTGCGAGTAGAAGCATAGTTGTTCAGTAGAGGATGGAACTCAGCAACGACGGTCAAAATCATGTCGTGGAGAATCTCAAAATGCATGCAAATTTTTGCAAAAGCTGGCCGGATTCGGCCAGCGGCGCTCTTCTCGGAAGGCGCGCTTGGTTGACCCGTGTTTAAAGTCGAAGTAGACGCTATGGAAGATGGCGCGGACGTCGCACCAGCTGTCCCAGATGTCTGAGGCGATACGGAGACGGTTACGTTCGTAAGTGGAGGCAGGCCATCAATGAAAGTCTCTACGCTTATGGGAATCCGTGAGTTGGACGCATACGTGGAAGTCGCGTTGCCATCATCGCGGTCACCGTACCCGAAACAAGATTCTCCAGGCTTTAACATTGCCTAGAGGGATAGTCGGTCAGTATTCGGAGTCTACAAAGACTCCGATCGAGTATGTAAAAAGCATGAATGGTCGCTGGCCTCTCGGGCTCTCCTTACCTCTGATCTGTCTAGCTCACCACGCGCACCAAAGGAGAACAACTGACTTGCTATACCGCAGAATGAAAATACATGTCCAGCGGCTATCTGATATGTCGTTTCGCAGAATGCAAGAACAGTAAAGTTATCGCCGGCGACCTTGCAGCATTGCAGGCAGATTTCTGCATTACATAGACAGCCGCCTCGACACAGGCAAGCCTGGTACGCGTCAACACCAGCACCAGCATCACATTGACTATCGCAGGCACTCGCGCTGTTGCATGCATTTGTGCAGACTTGTTATTGCGTTGTTGCTTACGTATATGTTTTAAAGGGGAAATGAGAGGGAAGAGAAAGAAGATAAGAGGCGAGTGCCTGGCTGGTGTCGGGATGTTTCTTTCCGACTCCCAGAGTCTTGTGCAGAAGACATGCGATGAGGGTGGAAAAGCGGTTGTACTCAGTTACAAGACTAGTGCATCAATGCCAAGATCTGTCTGATCTGCAGATCGACATCACATGACTGATAATCTTAGGATCGCGCTTTGAAATGATGGATGGATCCTGCAGAATCTCGAGAATCTCGGAGATTAGAAAGATTTGTGATCAAAGTGTGATAATGAAGTCACCAATGATTTCGGGAAATATATAAAGAGGCTCCATTTCCCAGTCCGTCAAAGTATCACAGTCTCCATATCTCTTCGTCACTCGCCTCGCCTAACATTCCAAGCGCCTTGCCCCTTCAACATCACCACCATTACTTCTCTTTTTCTACTTCTAGCACGAACACAAGCAAATACACATTGAGTACTCAATACCAAACCCCCAAGATGCCTGACATACAATCTCCCATCGCGTTCCTGCGCTCCCAATTCTTCTCCATCCCTCCCTACCCCACCAAGAAATACACCGGTCAAACCATCATTGTCACAGGCAGCAACGCCGGCCTCGGTCTCGAAGCATCCCGCCACTTCGTGCGTCTCGATGCCGCCAAAGTCATCCTCGCAGTTCGCAACCTCGAAAAGGGCGAGGCGGCAAAGAGATCCATCGAGGAAGCAACAGGACGTACCGGTGTTGTCCAAGTGTGGCAGCTTGATCTTGCTCACTATGAGTCGGTCAAGCACTTCGCAAAGCGTGCGCAAGGCTTGGAAAGACTTGACATTCTGGTTGAGAATGCGGGAATCGTGACCTTCAATTTCTCCATGATGGAAGATAACGAGTCGAGCATTACTACCAATGTTGTCAGCCCCATTCTGCATTCACTGTTATTGCTGCCCAAGTTGCGAGAGACGGGTGTGAAGTTCAACACGCTGCCACGGTATGCAAACATTTAGCAAGATTTGAGACGCTCCTGCTGCAGAGAGCCCTTGTACCTTTGCAACCCTCAATTATTCTTCTATTTCACACCCTTGCGTTGAAAGGAAAGGCAGAGAGAAGAACTGACCCATTGCTTCCGCTAGGCTTGTATTTGTGACATCTTTCGTCCACTGGATGACGCAGTTTCCTGAGCGCGAAGAGGAGAAAATCTTTGAGGCGCTCGCAGACGAGAAGAAGGCTAGAATGGATGACAGGTGAAACAACAACGCCTGCGCCGTCGACATTTTGTTAACAATGTGCTGATTTGTAATTCCAGATACAATCTCTCCAAGCTCCTCGAAATGTACGCCGTCCAAGAGATAGCCGAACAAATCACCGCGTCTTCCAAGAAAGGAAAAGTCGTCGTCAACCATTCCAACCCAGGCTGGGTCGTCACGGAAGTCATGCGTGAATGGACAGGTCTCAAGCTCTTCATCTTCAAGGTCTTCAGAACCATTTTAGCTCGCTCGACGGAAGTAGGTAGTAGGACTACTGTCAATGCCGCTGAGGGTGGAGAAGAGACGCATGGGCAGTTCTTAGATGATTGTACGATTGGGGAGTAAGTTTTTGCACTACGTGATTCTGGTGTACAAGGCAAGCTGATACGAGTCATCTAGGCGCTCACCTCTACTGCAGGATAAGGAGGTGCAGAAGAGGGTATGGTCCGAACTGGCTGAGAAGCTTGAGAACATCCAGCCTGGCATCCTCCAGAATCTTTGAAAGAGACCAGTACGCAGAATCAATTCCTTCGAGCGCGCGGTGCAATCGGGGGTCGGGGAGACAAAGGAGGATGATCGCGGGAAGTACAACATGTATGTGCTTTGCAAGAAGAAAAACCTGTCGAGCAAGGCAGATGCAACTCGCCACGGGTTTACTTTTGGGGCATTCGTCCCATTGTCTCTTGAGTCCCTTTACCCTTTACAATCATCCAAAATCCATACCTACCACCCTAAAAATCTAAATCTGTTCCTTAGCATCCTTCCACGCTGTCATAGCCCATCGACTTCTACCTCATCGCTCCCCATCGCCCACTTCTCCCGCATCAACTCCACTACTCACCCAAGCAGTAAAGATGCAGCAAACCACAAACTACTCGCCCGACACCGGTGAAGCCCCCTCTACCTCCATCTTGTACGAGATCTTGCCAAACTTCATCATCGTCGGCGAGGGCTATGGGTCACGATGTCTCCAGGAACGGCGTCGCTACGACACAGGTATCGATCAATACAGTCTCATCTCTACGTACATCAGAGTAGACCAGGGTTCCCTCATCTGCCTCGGCTTGAGCAGCGGTCGCTACAGACGAGCCACGAGCCCCTGCGGTACTTATCATACTCACAGAGTCGTAGGTTGGTTCCTCCTGAAGCGAGACTGCAAGCTTGGACTGACAATGGTTGTAGGATAGAGAAAGGGTTTGTACTGAGGCGCACATCTCAGTATTTGATAGAAAATATTAATATTATTGAAGGTTGCTCAAAATGAGACCCGCCTTGTCGGTTAAACCTCGGCAGCAACATGCTTTAGCACTAATCTTAGCCTTGAGATAGTGTAGCTTAAGGTACCTTAGCCTAAGTTCTGTCATAATTCAACAATCCCACTCTTTGCCCACTTTCCCTGGCATATCGACAGTCTCCAGCAACTTTGAACCAAACACGACTACTTCTGCTTAAGTCTGGTAGTCCTTTTGCTGGAGTCTACATTCGCCTTTTTTCAAAACCCTGTCAACCACGAATGTCAATACACCGTCTCTGATCACATTCTCCCCTCATACTTTGAAGGCTACTCTCTGTATACTCTATGCCATCAACCACGTTCCTAGCCGAAGAGGGTCCAATGACCAGACCAAGGTATCCAAATGAGGATGCAACACAAGGTCCCTTTTCCTTCGGAGACAGTGGTTTCCGTATCAACGACACCTTTCGCGAAAGTGGAAAATGCCTCAAAAGACTCCTTTTCCCGGAATCTCTGAAGAGTGAGAAGGCCAGAAAGTCGGCCCGAAATGATGCTAGTATGATTGATAGACCCTGGATCAAGGCTCAGTTGCAGCATTATGGAATCGACTTCAGTCCCAATATTGACCCCTTAAAGGCGAAAGCTCTACTGCTTACAAGTGTCGCCCATGGGCTAGTAAGCAGATCCACATTGGTAACTTCACCTCGAGCAGCATCATTGACACGTTTATAGTGCGATGCGGTTCCACCCCAAGTTCTCAAGATCAAGTCCACCCTCAAGGAACAATACAAGAGCATGATGGAGGATTACCGTGACAGAATGAAAGCGTTTTGTGCTCAAGAGCTACCAAAACGAATCCAAAAATTTGAGGCTTCCGCAACTCCGACAGAAGAAGTAAAGTGTGATGCGTCGCTCTTCCTTTGGAAATACTTTCTCGACGGGGACGGCAATCCAGACCGGACCAAGACACCGGATTTGATCCTGCTGCCTGGGTATACCGATAAATCTATGGCTTTGACAGGGAGAGTAGAGCGAGTTTGCGGTCTGCATGTGGCAGATGGAGGATTGGGAGGTGCAAGTAACGTAATGGTCGTTGGTTGGGACCGAGCAAGGGTCAATAACAAGGCACACCAAATCGATATGCGACAATCTCCTGGACGTGGAATTCTACGTTCAAATCATGATTGGGATCGACAGATGATGAGCCACCATAGATATGTGGAGGAACTTCATAATCGAGCGAGGGTTCTTAACCCGAAAGCCGGCAGCTCGTTCGAGACACATAATCTCATCGGGAAATATGTCGTGAAATGCGAGGCCATCCAGCACGACTGGCCATTTCTTTCAAAGCAGCTGCGTCTACGAACTATCCGGAGTGGACGACTGGCTATCTTCGACCTTGGAATTGTTTTTGGCTTGATGGTGCTCGGTAAAACGCAGGAAGATGTTACGAAGCTATTACAAGATGGAGATTGGGACACTGACCCCAGTGATGCGGAGAATACCGACGACGAGAGTGATAGCGAAGACATGAGCGGTGATGAAGAGGGTAGCGACGACGAGCGAGCAGCCGGACGTAGCAAGGACTCGGATTACAATACGGGCGGCGAGCCAGACGATCCTATCGACACAGCTTTAGACGCGCCAGCAAAGCGTCAGAAGATCGAGAGTAGCCATCCTCGCCAGCTGTACTTTCAATGGCGTGGGTACAACACCATGTCAGGTGCCGTTCAATTTGACCCTCAGGGTCGCAACACGGGATACCTGGATTTTGCGAACGATAACGCGACAATCTTTGAAGGAAACATTCTGATGGATGCCATGGGAGGCGAGATATCATTTCAAGGTTACGGAGTACCTGGGCTTTCTGGACCATTGACGATGAATTGGAATGCACTCTCGCATCTTGCCGCCGAGAGGGCAAAGGTCCAGTATTATATGTGGTAATAAGAGTAACTGGCAGACACAGCTACAACATAGTCTTGGCATTTCTCAGAGCCACGATTCGGTACGATTCCCCCGTCACGGGAGGAACACAGTTGGTGATTGGCAAAACCCAGCTGATCATATATGATACTAAAAGATGAAGGAAAAAAACCATTACTCTGCGAATGCACTGCTTTCCCAAATGGCTTTGTTGAGACCCTTTCTCTCGGCTCGGCATCAGAGGAGGCCTCCCCGGCCTCGCATTGCGAAGGGCGATCTATTTGCGATGATGACGCGATGTTGTTTTCGTATGCTCGCAATCATCGATAATTATTCGTAATTTCTCGCCTACCCAAGAACCGACTGACTCCAACCGAGACAGCTCATGTCTAACTCATATTTCACGCCGTTCTAATGCAGACCCAGCCACTCCCTCCCTTTCCCTCTCGCCATAGTCCGATAACTCTCCACGACCTGTCTTCTCGCCTCACAAAGCTCTGTCAGCCCCTTCAGCCCAACACACACTTCTTCACTAGTCACCAGAGTCTTGACCTCTCTTTCGGCATCTTCGCGACCTTGGGCGGCGCATCGCGAAGACCCTCGACTCCGCATTGCCGCCATCCTGCGGCAACGGCTTTGTAGCGATATGCGCCGTGCGTCTAAGCCTCTTTCCCCCCTCACAGATGACAGAAAAGCCTGCACATACCAAGCAACCCTCCCACCTTAGTATTTGGAATTCATTTTATCAATACACCCTTCACAAGTTAGTTGTTGCGGTAGGAATTACTACTTCTGCTTCTTTCTCCTTTATCGCGGAGCGAACGTTCCTTAATAGGCCCTTTCGTTGGCAAGTTGTGGTTGATTTGCAGATTTTGGGTGTGCAGGCTTTTCTGTCACCCGCGAGCCCCCAGCATCCCGCTTTCCCACCCCGTGCGCTTGACCTCGACCGCTGAGTCAGGCCTTCCGTGGCTAAAATTGCAGTCTCATCACAGAGCTAGGAAAACAGCCAAGCCCCATTGGAAAAGGGCGAAGATTCGGGTGCCATCGCGACCTAGTCTTGGAGTCAAACAAGTCGATCAGTCAGGGGTATCTATGTTTGTCGGTTTCAGATGCTCTTCTCTTTCTATTTTCTTTTCTCCTGTAATTGTGCTGTTAGATGATTTTCCGTACCTGCGAGATCCCATCCCCCTCTGGTGGGGCCGACTATCGGAAAACACTGTGTGGCCATACCTATTCCCACGCGGGCAACGGCCCCAAAGGCGCTGCTATCACAGCCAAATGGATAGGTGAGTAGCAGAGCCGCCTTACTTACACCCAGAATAGCCATCAACACTATGGCCTCATAATGAACCCACTAACCCACAGTCCCACTGTTGCGAAAATTAGATGCGCGAAACTTAAGCACACAAGCAACTGTCGACACGCTTACTTTCATAAAGACCCTTATTTAACAGGCTACCTAAGAGAAGACTTTCACTCTTAGGACATAACAACATAAGGTTCTCTGAAGACATTGGCACAATGTTTTGGATTGCAGCCCTTTCGTACTTTCCTACCGCAAACGCAGTGGCACTAAACCTTCCGGAGAGATCCTTCCTCCAACGCCCTTCCAATTCCTCGGTTGCCGATTTCGCAAATGTCACATCACTCAGCGAATTCAGTAATCCGCGATTCAACGCACAGATTGATTTCGGGAATGTCCTGCTCCGACCAACGTCTATGCTTATGAATGGCGTCGAAGCTCTGGCCACGCTTGCATTGAAAGACCAAACAGCCCGCAGCTCTGGCGCGCAGTTTCACGCAGAAGGCTATCCAGACGTGGTCATTGATATAGAGCCTCAGCAGCCAGCCACCGATGTTTTGAATGAAATTATGCTTTTGTGCATCTTTTTCGGAATGGACCGCGTGATAAGAGAGCGAGAATATCGAAATGCTAAGGTTCTCTGTTTTTGGGACAATGTAGTGGTTGCGCAGGTGCTTTTTGAGCGACCGGGGTATCAGTCATCGGCAAACACTACTGACGTATTGTCTCCGACAGCAGAAAGTCCCCGTGGATCTGGCAACATCTCATCGCTAATCACCACCACCAACGACACTCTCCTCGAAGCCGTTACCCCGCGCTTCTACTTTCGCCCAGACAGCCAAAGTCTTCCCACCCCAAATGTTTTCGGTACCGTAATCACGGTCCTCTTAGCCTTCGCCTATTTACCTAACACCGACCCCGTAGAAGCATATACCGTTGTCAGAACCGGTGCCGAGTGGGATGTCTCTATGCTTTTCGAACCAACCTTAATACGTACACGGCCGCCATACTTCGAGTATAGGTGGGCGATCGAGACTGTGAGACAGATGCCAGGGTTTTTGTTACAGCAAGGACGGTCCGCAGAGCTTAGCATTGGCGTTATCGTCGATGGCGTGCATGTGGGAAATGCGCTTTTAGAGAAGGGGGAGCCTAACGATCTAGTGGAGAAGGCGGGTGAAGCGGTGGTAAGAGTGTAGTGGTGTCGTTGAGGAAGATGTCGGGAAGTGCCGCGGGGTGGCAAACCCTCGAAATCAAATGCCTATACAGCCTAATGGCGAGACTTGTGAGTCTGCAATAGCTGAATTAATTCTCCCAGGCGAAAATGTTCCTACTGCAAAATAGCCTTCACATCAAGTGAGATACACTGTCAAGAGAAGTTGAGTTAAACCCATTTACTCCCAAACATTCATTCCACCAGACCCAAGCAAGACGGCCCAGGCCTCCCATATTTGCGCTTGGGTACGATAGTATCCCTGTACCGGCCTCTTTTAGGTCTAATTAGGCTTGCTATCCCCAGCGTGAGAGGGCTCAACCACTTGTTTACATCCTATGTGTGCCTTTTGTATGTTTGTGATGTGTCTTTTTCTATGGGACAACTAATGATGAGAGGGAGAGAGCTAAAACCGAACGAGAGATTGGGAGGTTTGGTGGGGAGCAGTTCACAGTCTCCTATCATTTGTGGAAGCAGAAAACCTCGGAAGAAAGTAAGAAAGCGAGTGATAATCGTGACAAGATTTGCTGGCTGTTAGCTGCGTTTTCGATCGCAAATAGCTTAAGTTGCTGTCTCGAGCATGTACGTGGGGTTCCACGATCGACTCTGTTTTCGTATTTTGCCTGTTGTCGTTACATGCCTCGCGCACTTCCACGAACAGATGGCAAACACGTGTACCATGCCCGGAAGCAAACGAGCGCCTTTCCCATCAAGGTGCTTTACAAGTGCCTACCTTTCACCGCTGCAATGTTCTCTTCTCACGTTTTCCACCCAGGTTCACAAGACAAGATGCAGCAGCAAGCCGTCGCCGAAGAGGCAAGAGTACAAGAAATCAGGTACGAAATTTTACTACAAGTAACCACCGTCAAGGGCGAGCCATACTTCATCAAACACGTTGAAGAAGCTAGAGCTCTCAAAGAAGGTTCCATCACGATCGTATTGAGTCCAGGACGAACAGAGTATTGCCCCCTATCTCCCTAGTTGATCATCGCCAGACTTATATCTCGCTAACGTGGAACAGTTTACCAGCATCACCCGTTCCGTGCACAGTGTACCTCCGCTGGGGCAGGTGGGCGGCCGAGTTCGACTGCAGATACGATATTGAAAAGGACGCGGTTCACAGAGGGTTATTTGCTTTCAAATCGACGAACCACCCGATACACCGAGAGATCCACCTCCTTTACCCATCCAACGCTCCCGTGCTCGAAGAAGACACGAGCCTGGACGACAACGGACGTCCGTTCCTCAGATTGACACTTCGCCAGGGAACGAGCGATGGGAAGCCGCGGTTGCCGGAGGAGCTTATGACCGTTGAGGTGTATGCGAAGAGGATTCCGGCGGGGCAGCGTAGAGAGATGAGCGAGAGGGAGCTGGACGGCTTTGGCTGGGAGATAGAAGAAGGTACCAGTGATCCCTGGGAATTGGATTTATAGGATGCGAGATATCTCTTGGCAGACATTGTTCTACATTGACGTATCTTGTCAAGTCAAAGCTACACGCCTTGGACCTATTAGTAAGGAAAATAGCTTTCATGAGCGCCATATCTTGACGCTGTATACTGCCCATACTATTACGGTGCTTTCATGCGTTTACGGGCGTAAGGACTTTCAAGTCTTTCTGGGGAGTGGAGTATATGCAGGATGCTCCAATCAAAAGGTGTCTCATTAGTCCATAGTCTTCCATTTCGAGTTTTGCTTTGGAAGCTTCGGGCATACACCCCGTGAGTACTAGTCGATGTGCAACTTAAAGAGACGAGCCTCGAAAAGACTCTTTGGCCTGGATCCAGAGACCGAATAGAGACGAAGCCGACGCGCTGGACATGCTCCCCTTCAAATCCCCATACTGTAGGTACCGAGCGTTCGTGACGCAACCCTGAGAATCGCTATATTTCGAGTATTGTAAGTTTAGATTTGGCTGAGCCAAGCAAGGAACTGATGTGTACTCAAGTGGGTCGAAATCTTGAAGCGTTCGATCCTCCACGGGTATAATCATTATCCAGCCTGGATCATGATATGGCTAAGCTGTTGCTCTCAGACAGGCCACGAACCTCCGAATGAACGCCGTTACTCTAGGAGCATGGGACTGATCCTGCACGGTAGAAGCAAGAGCTGTGCTTGAATGCCGGTGGGGGGAAAGTCTGCGAAAAAGCGGGCTTCGAGAGGGAGGATCTGCATAATACCGCAAGCTAGAAATTGGAATACTGCGTTCAGGCTTGTGTAATGGCCACGCGGGGTCGCTTGGGTGTGAGCCTCTCCTCTAAGACTCGGACTGAAGAGAAAGCCTTTCGTCCCGGGCGTCACTTCGCCACCGCTATCCCCTCTGTGCCATTGCCCAAGGAGAGTAGGGATATTTTGAAGACATATCCTTCTCCAATTTTCATCTCATTCAATTCGAGCTCACCCTGAGTTTTTTTTTTTTTAAAAAACCAAAAAACCTTTTTTTAAAAAAAATTTTTTTAATTTCTAAATTTTTTTTTCCTTGGTCCCCCCACAACAAAAGGGCGTTTCTTAACGGGCGCACGCTTATTCGGCGGGCAAAGTAAACCTCAGAAAGGTTTCATTTTCGGACAGCTGCAACCCTGCCGGAAAGGCTGAGATAACAGAGTGTAAGAATGAGTAGCAAAGGATATGCGCTATGGAGGTCTTGAGATTCTCCATTTTGGGCGTTCGAGCGGTGCTCAAGTGGATAGAAATATTGTTGAATATGGAGGTTGGAACTGCAGCGACTGCTACAGAGTAGGATAGGAAGGGGATATCGCCAGAAAGACGTTTGCCAGCGACAGTCGCAGAACGTTGGGTAGTATTAAATTTGGCTCGGGATGAAAGCCATTTAGACCATCCACATCTGTACCACCCTAGCGCTGAGGGAGACCGTCGTGGGTAAGGAGTATCCTGATACGCTGGCGAACACGTTTCCTACCCAATGTCTAGAGCATCTCCCGAGCATGTGCCTCTTTTGAGTGGGACTTCAGCCGAGGAAGAGTAGGTATGGGGTCTTGAGTATATGTCCATACTCGACCTCGTCAACAACTTGGGTCTTCTCTACAAAGTTCAGGGCAAGGTGGCAGAGACTGGAACAATATACCAGCGGACACAGAGTTCAAGCTTGGATGTTGAACAAACAGGCTCTTCGCATTCCTTTTTGATACTTTTTCAATCCTCGCACTTTCCTTCATGACGAGGTCCAGATCTCGGGAGAAGATATGAGCACTCTGGGACGCTCTCATGTGACAGCTGAGAAGACCAGCTCAACTGATATCAGGCTTCTCTACAATTTCTGCTCCATGTCGGCTTTTCTCCACACTGCGAAGAGACCTGATTGCTCTCACGAAGTCTTTGGCATCTGATTTAGTTAGCATCTATACTAAGTCCACTAGATTTGGCGCAGTACCGCGGTGCATGATGAAGGTCAGATCAAATGCGCCAGGCGTCGTCTTTTGAGGGTCGTATTCTTCTGTAAGAATGTATGGTTGTAGCTCCACAATATGAACTACACGAGGGCTGTCACGCGATAGCCATGTGGGAGAATCCATCTGGTGGGTGATGAGTGCTGTCCACATTGGATTCCTTTGTAGGGCACCGGTTTGCGCCGAAGCTTGCAGTCTTACAACGCCGGTGTCTCTTTCGCGGAACAACCGAAGAGCGTGCTCGTAATGATGGTCGATGATGCGCCTGAATGATTTGAGCATGTGATACATCGAGCTTTGAAAGTTCTTACCCAGCAAACAATTCATCTTCCTTGTGTATATCATAATCCTTAATTGTTACTATAGGGTTCACCACGTTCTCGGATCTCAAGGCTAGGAAAGAGCAGAAGAACAACACCAGTCCTTGATTCTCCGCTAGCTGAGTTACTGGAACCCTTGAGCTGTCGCTTTTGCGGCCTCCTAGGATCTCCATCAAGGGAATACTTCATTCTAACGCTGGCCGCCGTCAAAGCGATAGCCCAAGGGACAGGAGGATCATAAACCTACTTTCGTGACTAGGAAATTTTAGGCAAGCCCAAACCTCAGGAGCTTTCGTGCGATGATCGACTCGATGAAGATTTAGAAAAGGGCCACTTCTGATTACAACTCATGACACCAGACGTACAGAACATTCTTTCCTTGAACGAGCGGGCCGTATTGTGTGGCAAAGAAACCTGGACCTGCCATCTTCAGGGCATTTGTACAGTCACACGATGATATCACCATTGTCAAATGATAACTCGATCAGACTGACGTACTCTTCATTCAGACGGGCCATAGTTCCTGGCTCATGCTCGCCGAGAAATACTGATGGTTGAATTGTACTTCCCAAGGGCGTTGATGGTCGGCTCTGCTGGAACACATCCCTGCACCAATGGCTGCTGCTACTTTTTTCTTGTTGATCAGGAAAAGCTGTTTGCTCTTCCGAGTCCAAAAAAGGAAGTCCGCTATACTCTCCGAGCTCACGCGGCAGACGAGACAACCATTTTTCGACTAATCCACTCAAGTATACTTGACGAGCTTCAACGTTGAATTCCTTCATAGACTCGAATGAAACTCTCTCAGCTTCGAGCTTGGTTTCCAAGAGCTCTGCTTCTATCTTTGTCACGACAGGAGTACCTTCCGTGTGATTATTTTCAACGAAGACCAGGGGCTCCGCGCAGTCAAAGTGTCGCCCGCTTCAAGACTCTGCATAATTATGATTAGTTGAATTTGAGTTTGCGTTTCCTGCTTCGGAATTTCCGTCAGTGTCGTCCATATTTGGTAAAGTGAGCAGCGCGATCGACTCGAGATGGCCTGCAATATGTTGCTGCAGATCAATTGATCGCTCAATTTCAAGCCGGCAGAAGGGGCAAGGTCTATCGCACACTTGCGAAACGGACTCCTGGGATTTCACAAGCTCGGAGGAAAGCAGCTGATGGATAGATGCCGCATGATAAGTCCTCACGTGATCTTCGTACGCAGCAAGCTCAACGTGTTCATGCTGAGGGTGCTCCGGACATCGCCATATACTTTGCTGATGCGCCCATTGCTCATGGCGTGTCCACTCTTCCCAGCTATCGTATAGCACATTTGGTTCGGTAAAACCATCATATGTACAGACATAGGGTCGAAGGTCATGCTTGAGGTGCGATCTAGCCCAGCGTTCAGTTTTCGACTTGTCTGAGCATATTAAAATGGGACACAAACCTCCAAGCAGCGCCTTCAGAGTACCTTGGAGTACAGAAATAGAAACAGAAAGGACACTCAAAGTCTTCCTTCAAGGGACCAGCCACAGGAGATTTTGGCCAACTGACCTTTTCACCGGAGAGTCCAGGAACAGTGAGACCTGGACTCGTTCCCGAGTACGTATATTTGTAGTTACCCCTCAGGATATAGTCTTTGGGAAGCGCAGGAACTGAAGACAACAATGGTCGTGAAACCTCAGAGGGTTGCACCAAAGAGGGTGTGTCGTGCTTTGGCACCTTCGTCAACCTTTCGTCATGATGTTGTGAACTAGGTACGGTTTCGATAGCCTTGGATGCTGCTCGAATAGACCGTTGTTTTGACCGCCTCCAACACTCAAACTGCTGGCGACGAGCGTTATTCGCTTTTTGCAGACGCTGTATGAGGCACTGATCCTCATGCATTAGAACCAGGTCCGCTTCCTCATCTCGAGACTCAATCAACAATTTCCGGGACTGCAGCACGATGTGTTCAATACCCTGCAGTTCGGCCCTTTTCCTCATTTTGATGTACTTAGACTTGATTTCGCCATCTACCTTCTTGTAGATATCAATATCAGTACGGATTGTCCTTAATTTAGGGCTGCGTATTTGGGACGCAAGGTTATACATTTGGTTGATTGCTTCTGTCACGTCTTCCAAATGCAATATGAGCATTGGCTCGTTTTCATCGTTGGTGTCGTTCAAGGTTCCCATCATGATGAGGCTAAAGGAAGACCCTCCATCGTTACTCTCACACAGCAATTCATCAGTTTCAGCTCTCAATGCATCAGGATGGGGCGTTTCTGAGACCATAAACGGGGATCCTTCATCATGAGAGTTAGAGATGCCTGCGACTGATTTTCTATCAGTACTAGTTATACATTTCAAGTAGGAAGGCATACTTCCTTCAAGAGCTCCGATCAAATTTGTAAGCAGTTCGCTAGTAAAAAACCTCACAACTTCGTTGTCTCTGAGCCGGTAGTCTAGAGAACCGTGATCTTGACGTAACAATCCAAGATTGATGGCCTAAACCTGAAACCGCTGCATCTCTGACCTCAACGCCGCAGCATCGGGCTGTTCCGAAGCCATAGAAGTATTCTTTTCGAGCGTCTCATAAGCGACCTGAAAGTTTTCCCAAGCATTAAGGCCATGTGTTGCCAAGTCTGTCTTGTCGAGAGAATTGGGCATGATAGTTGATGTGGCACCTAGATGACATCCAAAGGTGCATATGGTGTATATAATAGACAAAAGTTGCTAGGATGCCGCCCGTCATGCAAGAATATGTCAAGACCAAGATATCCCCGCACCTGAACAACTTCCGACCTACTCAGCCTCAGTCTTCATCTGCATACGCAAATTTGTGACCAATACCGCAGACGTACATTCTGGTGGGCCCAGTCAGTGTCATGGTGACTGGAATTGAAACAGCCGGCCTTGTCTTGGCCGTCTTACCCTTCCTCATTGAGGCACCTTTGGTGTACAAGAAGGGGCTCGAAAAGACGGGGATCGTTCTTGGCTTCAAACAGAAGAGATATAAAGTAAAGGTCGAAACGCTCAGACTGCGGCTCAAGGGTCAAAGTGCATGGTTACACCTAAACCTTGCTAAATTACTTAGCCGCGCGGCCCCGAATGAGGATTTCGTGAGACTGACAGAGGACTACAACGACGTATTTTGGACTGGGGATATTGCCGACAAGATCAGGAAATACTTACAGCCTGGTGACGCATTCGAAGCTTCCAAGGCACCCTAGGTCTATATGAGAGTTATCTCGAGGAGATTGCCGAGAAGCTGGTTGGCATCCTCAGACCTCCTCGAGTACAGAGAAGGATCCTACTTTCTTGCGGCTCTGTCGCTAAGGCTTTTCTAGGTAGATGAGGAAGATTTAAAGGCTTTTCTCGAAGCCAACAAGCTTGATCAGGGCCATTACCGTTTCAGTCAGAGGTTGGCTTTTGTTATGGATGAGCCGAGCCTCGACGATCTACTGAAAGGTTTGAGCGACTCAGCATTGACCATTAAAAATTTCGTGGACGACAATGAGGACCTGCATCACATTCAGAGATCGAATAAGGAGCTGCAACAAGCCAAGCAAACCAGGGTGGCGAATTCCCTACATAAGGTACGAAAGCATGCAAATGCTCTTTTTCGTGCGATTGCTTGTGGTTGGAGTCGGCAATGTCATGAGAGACACCGAGCCATGCTTCGTCTAGAGCCTCGATGTCAGGAAGCATACCACGCCCTGCAGTCACCGTCGGGAGTTGGTAAGACAGCAGTCAGGTTCACTATCCTGTTTCATGGCAAGATCAGGCTGCTCAGGAAAGCGTTTCGTGGCACGAAACATCCATTTGACGCCTGAGGAAGACAGTACTCATGTTCTTCGCAATACGGCGTAAGTGGGAGCTCCGCTCGGAGATAGCCGCACACAGGCGAAAACTAGATATGTTTGAAGGGCAACGACTTCCGCAGAAAAGTCAGTCACCCGGTCAGCAGTTCCGGATATTGTTATCACCTCTGGTGAAGTACCGTCCCCAGAAGGGTCAGTGCCCATCGAGGTAACGAGTATTTGCAAGACACTTGCAGAAGTTCAACCACCTGTGCTTCAGCTGTCAAGCGACAACCGGCTTTTTTGGCGTATGGAGGCGCCTTACAATTTCTTACGACCTGCGCAACTAGGCGAGCGGACTATGAGCTTGGATGTAGTCCTGGAAGAGCGGAGGCAACTGGATCCGGAAGATCGCATCAAGCTTGCCGTAAATTAGCATATCCTCTGCTCCAATACAACCTCACTCCTTGGCTGCGAACATGTTGGATGGAAAAAACTGTCCACTCCTTTGTTCACACACGAACTGTGTCAGGCATTGATGTCGAACACCTGATGATTATAAAAGATTTCAGTGATCAGGCGAGTAAGACACTCCATGATGTTCCAGAAAATGATCCAGAGCTGGCACTTATGGAGCTTGGGATTTTGTTGCTCGAGATATGGGATGTGAGGACTTTCGAAAGCTGGCTGAAAACCGCTGGACATCTCGTAGATCATTCAAAGGTCCAAGACAGATATCTCCACCTTAAATATTCCATTGAATGGTTCCAAAATCTGAAAGGAAAGCTCTTACCAAATTATCAGAAACTCGTCGGGATTTGTCTGAGACCTTGTACTTTCGATCTCTTTCACGCAGCTTGGAGGATACAGATTTTAGGATGGCAGTATCCAGGGAGATTGTTGAGCCTCTACTAATATGGAGTAGCTGAAGGTCGAATATGTGGTTACGCAGAGCAGCTTTCCTTCTCTTGTGAGGACTTCCAGCTTCATTCTCAGCACGACTTGCGGACAAACTAAGTACCCTCCATCAAAATTGCGGATGCCTCGATGGACTCCATCGATGGTGGAAACCCGAGAGTTAGAGAAGTCGGAATTTTGCTGCAAGAGAACGATCGGGCCGGTACGGTAAAACATTTTTGTCTGAAATCTGTAAGAGGGGAGCCCATAGAGCCGTTTGAGGATCGATCTGGGAGTGCTCGAGATATATTAGAACGCGAGAATGCCAGAACTTGGATCGGGGATAGCAAAGTAGACCAGAAACAGCCCCGGAGAAAGTACTTTAGTGAATAATACATGCAATCCAGTTTTCTACTCGTGCAATCCAGGAATGAGTTCCCACGCTAAAATAGGGCCGGGAATCAGCCAATCAAGTTACTCAGTTCTCCGCAAAATCGCACTAAAACATGCCTTATTTCATAGAGAGGGGCGCCACTGAGGCATGCTCTCTCATTATTAAATATCAAGATATCGAGAACATGACAACAATGACAGCTACATTCGTGTGTAAGTAACCCCCTGAGTATTTAGACTACTTAATTGACCAATCAACTGAGCCGGTTCTTTAGGGCGATCGAGACTCTTCAGGCATGCTAGAATATCGTGAAAATCCTCGTTTCCAGCTCTGTTAATTGCTCTCAGCATTAAGGCGGAAGCAGATCTCTTATTCACCCCCGTTCTTCGCTCAATGGCATTAAAACTTTCGCAATACAGTAGTCTACAGATAGCTACAGCTACTCTAAGCTCTAGACTGATTTCGATGTCGTGTGGGGCCATTAAATATATAATAGCTGGATTTGATGGAGTAAACAATAGAATAAACATAGATATTTGCGGGGCGACCCTGCCAAGACGCTAAATTTTAGCGTGGGAACTCATTCCTGGATTGCACGAGTAGTCAGCCTTATCGGATGTAAGAGCGCGTAAATGCCGACGCGACAAATATCGCGTCTCTGTCACGCATAACCTCTTACTGCGATCCACTTGTACATATTGCAAAAGGCAACAATGAGTACTACTACAGCAGAACTCAACGAGCTTTTCGCCATACCACCAGTGACTGAGCTGCCTCCCGATGTCCTAGGCGAGCTTCAATCCATACTCCGCCTACACTCGATTCCTCCGCAAGAGCTGTCATACAAATGGGAATCCTACAGCATGAAGATGGGGTCCGAGCAGACCAAACTCGACCTCCCTACTGCTCGAGCATTCAAGAAAGATTTGCAAGAGATGCTAGAGCGAGAATCGAGAGGGAAAGCGCACGTTCGCAGCGTGGACAAGCGGGGCGCATATGCGACACCCAGGAATACTGGGAAGGGGGATGATGTGTTTGGGATGTAGGTGGACTCGAGGCTAGCTACTCAACCGTTGCTGATTGAACACAGGCTGGATGGCATTGTGCCAAATACTCCAGTGCCGCAACGCTCTACGAATGGCGCAATGAAGAGGAAAGCTGCTTTCGATACGCCCGCGGTCCCCAAATTTAGTAAAGCGGATGGCATGAGTTCTCCCAGCGATGCGAGGACCAACGGTAATACAAAGGGCGTCCAGTAAGTTGCCGAACATGCGCGAGGTTAGGATGGCTGCTTACAAATCTCAAGGAGTATTCCATTCTCAGAACGTCAGAACGCAGGCCAGATTGTCGAAACCCTCAATCCCCACTTGAATACCTGCGAGGCTCCCATCGCGCCACCAGCCGAGTCTCGCGTCAGACTGACTGCAAACACCGACCTGAAGAAGTTTTCTTATAAGCCCATGGCGATGCACCTTTCGGAAGCATCCGAGGTTCTGGATGACCGGATAGACGAATTCCAATCTCTAATACAGGTCCATCACAATCTCGAAGATTCGGCTTTCGGAAATGCAGCGAACCGGGCTACCAGCGAGATCATTGCCGTTGGACGGATTGCCTCGGATGCACTCGAAGGAAAACTCAACGCATCTTCGCTGATGCTTGAGACTTCAAGACGGACAGGTGCTGGATTACGAGTGCCTCTCAAAGTCGAATCGGTATCCCATGAATTCTTTCCTGGACAGATTGTTGCGATTCGTGGCATCAACGCATCGGGTGATTATTTTTCTGTCAACCAAGTCCTAGAGATGCCTCTCCTGCCAACAGCGGCTTCTCTGCCGTCAACGATGGATGCCTTGAACGAGAGGCTTGGGGTCGAAGAAGCTAACTCGGAGAACCCTGCACATGCCCTCAACGTCCTTGTTTCCTCTGGTCCATACACTGCAGATGACAATCTTGGATTTGAACCACTGCAAGCCTTGTGCCAGAAAGCAGCCGAGTCATATGCAGATGTCCTCGTTATGGTAGGACCAATCCTCGACCTCGAGCATCCGCTTCTCGCATCTGGCGACTTTGATCTTCCAGACGATTCCAGCATCGAGCCCGACAAGGCCACTCTCAACGACGTCTTCAGAATCCTAATAGGCACACCAATTCGTCATCTCGCTCTGCAAGTGCCCAATATAACTATCGTACTCGTTCCCTCAGTGCGAGACGCAGTCAACAAGCACGTCTCATGGCCTCAAGAACCCTTCGACAAGAAAGTTCTCGGACTCCCGAAGCAAGCAAAGGTCGTCACCAACCCTGTGACCATCTCTCTGAACGAGATCGTTGTAAGCATATCAGCACAAGACGTCCTCTGGGACCTCCGATGCGAGGAAGTCAAAGTTGGAAGAACGAAAGAGAGTGATCTCATGGCACGGCTACCTAGACATCTCATCCAGCAACGCCATTTCTTTCCTCTGTTCCCACCTGCTGATCGGAAAAGCTTGCCCAAGACAGGCACGGAGGAGGGTGTTGCAACTGGTACGCCGATGGATGTGAGCTATGTGAGACTGGGAGAGTGGCTCAATGTGCGGCCGGATATGTTGATCACGCCTAGTGCACTGTCGCCTTTTGCAAAGGTACGCGATGCCCACCCAGAACCCCAAGCGAAAGCAAGCTGACCACATCGTAGGTCGTCGAAAGCGTTCTAGTGGTCAACCCAGGACCACTATCCAAACGCAAAGCAGCCGGTACTTACGCACAACTGGCGATTCACCCGAGGAGAGTCACTGACGAGGAGCGAGAGCGCGAGCAGGCGGAGGGAACAATGATCGGGCATCACCTGTTCGATAGAGCAAGGGCGGATATTGTGAGGATATAGTCGCTTATAGTGACGTTAGCATCGTAAATAAATGCCATTGCACCGCTTCGCGCCACCATCTTCGTAAGCCTGATCTCAATCATTGAACAAACCGAGCATCGGGTATCATCCTACCTAGGCTCCCAGCCCACCACCAACGCGCCAGCCCTTTCATTCCCCACCCCATCCCCCATCTAATCCACGAGTAAAATCCAACCCCTCTTCTTCCCCCCTCACACAAATAGATCATCTAGGCAACTTCGGCATCCCCACCTCCCCACCCTTCGGCCCCTTCCCCACCAACCCCTCCAACCCCAAATCCTTCCACGCGCTCTCCTTCTTCGCCTGCGTCGCGCGCGTTATGCCAAAGGCCGCGTGCTGGTCCGGCACGACGTCGTCTTCGTCTTCGGGGTTCGGCGGCTGGTGGTTGGGGGGCACGTAGATGGATTCGTGGGGGAGGTGCGGGGGGCGGGTGAATTCCTGGTGGTGGTGAGTTGGGGGGGGGGGGTGCTGGGAGGGAAAAGGAGGCGAGGTAGGGAAAGAGGGAGAGGGGGAGGGGGAGGGGGAGGAGGATGGTACGTACTTCGAAGAGGTCGGCGTGGCGGGGTTCGTTGAGGTGGATGTAGGTGTGGGAGGAGTCTTTGGACTGGATGGGATGGTGTCAGTGAGGGTTGGGCAATGGAGGGAGGGAGGGAGGCGAGGGGAAGGGCTTGCCATTGTAGGTTCTGTTCCATGCAAATATTATTGAAGAAATGAAAATCTGTCTTGTCCAATCTCGTATCGTACCTCGGGAGTGCTATGTTTACCTACCTTACTCTCTCCCCACTAGAGCGCCAAGCCCCAAGCGGCACCGTCTCCCCCGCCCCGCCCTCAAACGTCATCCCCAAACCTACTTTATCTACAAGCGCACCAACCACACCTTCCCGATATCTATCCTCCCACCGCAAAACCTGCTCACCCTTCGCCATACAGACGTCGTCACCAACATCGAAGACCAAATGGACAGCTTGAAATCGGCCACGGGCCTTAGCACGGACCCTGCTCAGCAATCGGGCGAGGAGCCGTTGTCGGGGCAGAAAGGGCAGGGGACGGTGGAGGAACCTTATGATCAGGGCAATGCGGAGGGTGAGTTTGTCTGCGGTGTCTGACGGATAGGATTCGAGAGGAGGGGTTTGAGCTTGCGGACTAGGCTGACTGAAATGGTTGTCTATGTAGGAAGCGATGGAGCTCCGGCGAAGGAAGGCATGACTGGGGCGATGAATGATACGAAGAGAAAAGCGGAGGAATTGGTGGGGAAGGGATCGTGAGATGCTGGTGGGAAGCAGAGGTCAAGGAAGATGGCAACGATGGCATGAAAATACGAGCAATTTTGTAGGGATTGGGAGGATGCCAGTGGTCGTGGTAGGAATTATGTGGTTCATATACCCCCTAATGACATCGACGGTCTAAGATCATGTCAATGAAGATACTCCAAAAGTCCACAATTATTACAGCATCCCAGCCCAGACGGTCCCGTCCGCTCAATGCGACTCAGTCACTTTACATTTCCACCCTGATTCCTGGCTCAACAGCGGCAAGCTACATCGAGTGTCAGTACCGTGCATCTTGATGAGATTGAATGCGTTGACTTACCTAGCACCCAAGCACCAGCCCAACTCATTACCCTTGATCTTCTTCGCAATCTTGACCTCCCTGTTCAAGCCCATATCATAACCCGTGTGCAAGAGACCAACCATGAAGTTCAGGTCCAAACAATATTCCGGTCGGCCTTTCAACTCTTCCAACGCACCTTCTACCGCCCCAAAGCTTGCCCATCCCTTTTCCCCCTCGCATACCTTGGCGGTCAAGTCGCGCAGCTCGGCAACAGTGAAGGATTCTGGCATACCTAAAGGCTTTGTGCGGTCGAAGAAGTAGCTGAAGATGTAGACGTCTTCACGCGCAAAGGTCTTTTCTAGCGAAGGTTGATGTATGCCACCGAAAGAGCACGGGGCCAGGTCGCATTGCTTGTCTTTTAAGAGGATCTTCTCGGCAAGGCCACGGCATTGCGCGCTGGCGGCGTCTTTAGGACCAGCCATTGTGGTGGTATAGAAGTCACCGCTGTCGAGGGTGACGTTTACTTCGCGGGACATGCCTGGCGCTATGCAAGGGTTTGAGATAGGAGACGAGGCCCATGATTTGTCGGTCGGAGAGGCGTCGTGCAGGGCCTGTACGACAGATTTGTGGATAGATTCACGAGCAGCCATGAGGCCGTAGCCGAGGTGGGAATGCTGGTAGAGTTCGTAAGTTGTACCGCCAGTTTTAAAGACATACTTGTGCTCCCCTTCATGAAGCGTTTCGGGCATGCCACCAGAAGGAGATTTGAACGTGGGTTCGAAGACGATTTGGGTGCTGCCACCACCAAGGTCGAAGACGGCTGCTGTGGGCGACTTGTCCGGACCGCCGATCTTTCCAAGGAGGTAATTCGTGGTAATCCAAGCGTAAACACCTTCATCTTTGCCGTCCATGACTTCAACACCTCCATTTACGGCAGAGACAACAGGGAAGGGGAATTTGGTTTCCAAGCGGTTGCGGACAGCGTCGAGGATCTTCTTGCTTGCTCCTTCTTTCTTCTGATCCAATTTTCGAAGACCAGCAGTAGCTTTGACGGCGATTGGAGAGCAGCCTTTCAACTTGTCCGGGACCGTCTTCATAGCCACCTCAAGGAGCATGTCGAGACTTTTTGCAGCTCCTTCCGCGTCATCCCCGTATGAGCTCAAGCCAGATCCTCCCTCTTTCTTCTCCGTCATCTTGAACTCCTCGGATTCCAGTTCAGGTGTAGAACCGCAGTTACTAAATTTATAGACATGGATTCGAGAGCCGGTGCTACCCGCGTCAATCATTAAGGCATACTGTATTAGAGGCTTATCCCTCGAGCTGGACTTCGAGCACTTCGTTGTCCCTAGGGGCCCCGCTATCTTCTTATCCGTGGTAGAAGTAGACGAGGGTTTTTGAGCTCCTAGAAGTGGTTAGTGAACTTTCGGGCTTCTTGGGTCCTATATTGTTATTGGGCATACCCTGCACCATATCCCTAACACCTGCGCCATCCCTAGAAGTGAAAAGATATAAGAGAAGTACGACCAAAGTAATGAAGCCCGCAGTCTTCAGCAACCGCGCCCTTTGCCCACCCGTCATCGAGGCTTCTTTGTAGCCCTCCAGATTGCCTGCTCTGCCCCAGCTGCCCTTCGGAGGGGTATTTTCTTTGCTGTCGGGACTGGGAGTCTCGTGCTTGGGCAAGGAGCTCGATCGTCTTCGCGGCTTGGAATTGAAGCTGAGGTAGGACCAGAGGCTTGGGCGTCGACGAGCGTCAAACGCTGTTGACATGGGATGCACTGGGGGCAGTAAGCGGTGTCTGCTTCAATGGACACCACCTTTTTAATCTGTGATTAGGAGTGTGAAAGACAGAAGGTCGAGACGTCCTTGAATTGCGACCTTTTTGGTGTCTCGGGTGGGGAAGCGTGGTCGATGTATTGTCTCAGCGATAAGTTGGGAGAAACAAAGTTGTTCTTTCGAATGCTTGGCTTGCTTGGCGTCTCAAAGCGATTACCTTTCTCCAGAGTATGATGACGCTAAATAGGGCTGGACCTTGTCACTACGGTGTTCCATTTGAGGCAAACCCTTTTTATTCAATTTTTTTTTTTTTTTTTTTTTTGATATGTAGGTCGATTTGAAATATTTACTCCCTGCGTATATTGTAGTACTAACTGCGACTGCGGAGTGGCCATTAAATCTATCTTATTAAATTTAAATATTCCTTCTATTTCTATTATAATTAATAGCTATATATCTAATTAACTTTATATAATTATCGATTATTCTTCTAATAGTACGTATTCGATTTATTTATTTATACTTCTATTTCTATAATTATATTATTAGAATATTCTAAGAAAGACGTAGAGTTATATAAGAAGTTTATTCTCTATCTTTATAACTAGAATATCGAGTATAAAGAGATTTTATAATATCTATCTACTTAGCGCGGCTTTAATATTAATAAGAATATACTTAAGTAATATCTATAAATATAGGATAAAAAACGTTATAATAAATTAGAGTATAAAAATAAGATACTTCGCGATATTCTTATTATAACTTTATTTCTTTAATAAAATATAAATAATAAAGAGATATTAATAATATTAAAGGCGAAGAATTTATATATAACTTTAAATAAGCTTTAATAATTAAGAGTAGTAATAGATTTAAAAAGAAAACGTTTATTAAAAAATACTCGCTCTTATAATTGTCAGGACCAGCATAGGTACGATATCAGTATGGGTGAGGTAGAACTAGGATAATAAGGCTACCGAACTATGTATGTGGGAAGGAGGCATGATATGGTAGGGGATGCCTCCGCCAAGGCCCGCTAGCCATAGGGCTGAGTGGTGTGTCAAGGGTACGCTCGTAACACTACCCCCCCTCTCAAATAGCCATGGCCCCCATGGCTGGTAGACCGGAGATGCACGCCCATTGCTTGCCCTGTGTCTCCAAACATCCATAGTCCCTGCAGGCCTTGATTGGAGAAGATTTGCCGAGGTGTAGTGGTAGCAGTCGAACATCGGATGGTTTCAATTCGTTCAAAAACACCATGTCCGAGGTTTTGCCGGATCGCATGCTGGTCTTGACTGTGCCGTTCATGCCTGCCATGCCCACATTGTCCTTCAGAGATCCTGGAGATATTGGCCATATCTTGCCTGCGTGCCAGCAAGATTCTCCGAGTTCTTCTCCTTGCCCAGTCTGCTTGTCATAGTCCTCCACCTTTTTCGCCTTCAACACCTACTGGCAGCCTGGCCTGGGAGCTTCACTGTAGATTTGCCCTGTGTCTCCCGTGCTCTTGCCATCAAGTCGATCGGTAGAATTGAAGAAAATCCAACGCATGCATATATCATCCTCCAACACCTGTTGGCAGCCTGGCCTGGGAGCTTCACTGTAGATTTGCCCTGTGTCTCCCATACTCTTGCCATCAAAAATCCATCCTCCATTCCATCCTTTGGTAAGTTTGAAAGGGAGGTAGGGAAAGAATCGAATGTGTTGAATGCCATTTGGTAGCAGGCTTCACTATGTGTGTTGTCGACATGCTTAGTGAAGAGGTCGAATCGTAGTCGTTTTGCCGGGTCTGTTCCCGTCGCCATTGTAGCAGGCTCACTATGTGTGTTTGGTCGACATGCTCAGTGAAGAGGTCGTACGTTTGCTGCCATTGTAGCAGGCTCACTGTGAGTGTGGGGGTGTTGGCTATTTCTTTCGATTCGCTAGCCGTACGAATGGTCCAATGCCTTCTTTATCCCTCGACCACTGTTTGCCGAGTCCGATTCGCTATGAAATCGAGTTACCCGTCTGATGGGCTTACCTAGGGATACGATGGCTTAACTTGGTTTCTTGCCAAAGCCCCTGCCAGCGTATTTCTTTAAATTCGTCCGCTAATTCGAATGAAGTGTGTCCGATTACATTTCTCTTCGCCGGGTATACGAAGGAGCTTTATTATAATATCAGGATCAGCATAGGTGCGATACCAGTATAGGTGAGGTAGAACTAGGATAATAAGGCTACCGAACTATGTATGTGGGAAGGAGGCATGATATGGTAGGGGATGCCTCCGCCAAGGCCCGCTAGCCATAGGGCTGAGTGGTGTGTCAAGGGTACGCTCGTAACAATAATAAGAAGATTATACCTATTATTATAAAGTATCTAAATTAAAATATTAATCATAACTAGAGTCTAGAGCTTTATATATCTTTACGTATACTTTTATTATAACGATATATTTATCTTAAAAAACGATATTATATATATTTTAAGATTTATAGATTTAAAGAGCGTTAATAATAAATATTAGAAGAAATAATATAGAAGAAAGAAGTTTTTAATAGTCGATTTTAATACTATATAATTAATTAATATCTATTATAAGCTAGAGATTATTAATATTTAAATCTACGTTATAATTAATATATACTCTTATAAAATTATTTAAATTTATATAAAAATCTTTAAATATATAGTTATTAGCGTTATAAAGTAGTTTTTAATATATATAAAAGAGTATAAGATTATATCGAAAAGATTTTGTTTAGATCGAGGTATTAAGATTATTCTTATTATTAATATATTTTATTAATTATATAAATTATAAGAAGATCGATTAAAAGAGAATTATGTTATTAAGAAGTGTTAAATATTTAATAAAAGTATCGCTAATTAACGTATTAAGTCTTAATAAATATATTTATAATCCTTATAACTTTATTAATAAATACTCTTCTTTAATCGATTAAAAAAGGAAAATTATTTTATAAAGAATCGGTTAGCGAATATTATTATTATATACGCTATCTATATATTTTTAATTTAAGTAAAGATCTTTAAATTTATAAGTAAAAGACTCGCCCGTATATAACTTTTAATTTACTATAGTTTATATATAAATATCTCGAGGAACTAGCGATAAACTACTTTAGCGTATTAAATCTTAATTTTATTAATATATTTTATTAAGAAGTAAAAGTATATAATCTAGATAAGTATCTTCTCGTTATAATATTATAGTAATATTATAAAAAGATATAATCGCTTAATTTTAATTTAATAACTTTAATAATAAAGAATATATTTAAGAAGAAGAGATAGAAAGATATATATATAATTATATTTTTATTCTTCTTAAGTAGAAGGTCGAATAATATCTCGCTATAAGTAATAATAATTTAACTCTAACGTTAACGTAGATATTAAAGAGAGCTAAGTCTTAAAAGCTTTTTAAAAAAATTATAATAGTCTTTTATAAGGCTTAAAGGAATAAGAAGCTAGCGGAGTTTAGAAATTATATAAATACTATTTTTATAGAGTTAGATAACGAGAATTATATATCTAAGAGTTATATATTAATCGACGATAAGAAAAATTAATCGTTAATCTTCTCGATTAATATTCTTTTATTATTTAAAGAAATATATATCTTATAAGTCTCTTTTAATATATATTTATTATAAAGTATATATTAAAAGAGACTTATAAGAAGTATATTACTCTCGTATTAAATAAGATTTCTATTTTTCTAATAAATTAATAGACGACCCGATAAGATCTCGAATATCGTATTTTTAAACGAATTAAATTTATTCGAAGTCTAGATATTACGCTTATGCCTTATTTTTTAATACTTATTAATTAATTACTTAAACGCTTATTATTTAATAATTATTTTATATAAGTTTTATTAAATATACTTTTCTTATTAATCTATTTATAAAGATCTTTTTAAGCTATAATATAATATTTATAAATCTTATTATCGTCGTTAATAATCTTAATTAATATTAACTATCTAGTATATTATAAAGAAAATTACTAAAAGATTATTTAATATTAATTTAAAGTTTAATATTTATAGCTCGATTCGACTCGAAAATACTCGAATTAATTATATTATATTATTCGACGATTTCTTCTCTATCGAAAAATTAAATATTAAATAATTACTTTATAATAAAATATATATTTAGCTATTATTCTTTTATTTATTTACTAAATCTCTTTAAAACGAAAGTCTCTTAACGCTAAAATAATATACTCGTAATTTAATATTTATTAGATTTTTTAATAATCTCGCTATTATCTATATCGCTATTATAAAGATTAATCTCTCTATAATTTTCGAAATAATAATATTTCTTTATAGAAGTCTAGCGTACTCGTTTCTTATTTATTTAAGATATCGTATATAGAAAAAATATCTTAAATATTATTCTTTCGAATAATAAAACTTCGCAGAGAGAGTTCGTTATATAATTATATAGTATTTTATACTTTTAATAAATATACTCGATTTTTTCTTTTAAACTATTTTAAAAAATATACTTAATTTATTATTCGAGCTATATTAAAGAATATACTCTATTTACTATTTAAGCTATATTTATAATTAAATATATAATATTAAATATATAATAGAGTATATAATAGAGTATATAATAGAGTATATAATCGAGGTCTTTCGATTATAAGTATCTCGCTATTATTTATATTATTTAACTATCTCTTTTATATTAACACTTATAAATATTAACTCTTTATTCTTTCTAACTTTTAAAAAATACTTATTATAACTTAATTTATATATTTCTATAAGAATCTATTAAGCTTCGATTATTATATATTATAATTTAAAAAAGAATATATAAATTATAGAGTTAAGAAATAAAAGTAATTAAAGATTTTAATTTCTATTATAAATATTTATAACTTTTTTAGACTAGTATATATATTTAAATAAAGAGAGATATTAACTAGTTTAAGTCGTATTAGCTTTATTATTAAAGATTAAACTCTTAATAATATTCGATCTTATATAAGTAATTAGATTATATATATAGATAATATTAATAATTATATTTAATTTAATAATAGTAGTATTATAATATTTATCTCTAAGGCTTTAATAATATTATATTATTAATTCTATAATCTAGTAAGTCTAGATCTTCTAAAGCTTAAATATATTAATAATAAATCTTTTTATATATAATTATTATTATTAAATAATTAATATTAATTAATCTAATAAATATAAATTCTATTTTACTAAAGTTAATAAATAAAAAATTATTTAGATTAAATATCGAGTAATAGATTAAAAAAGATATAATTTTAAAGAGTAAAATCTAAAATATTATTATTTATAATTCTCGAGTAACTCGTTAATAACTCTCTTTCTATATTGACGATAAAGATTCTTCTTTTTTATTATATCGCTTTTTATTTAATATTCTTAATAGTAATTTTATATACGATATTCTCTAAGTCTATAAGAAAGAGAAGAATAAACGTATACTCTTTATAGTATATGAAATATTAAATTTAAATTATATATAAGTAGTAGAAAATTCTATTAAGAAAGATAAGATTATATATAAGAAGATAGTTAAAAAGAAGTTAAAGTTAAAGAAGAATAAGATTAAGAAAAAGAGTAAGTCTATATTAGCGAAGTTTAAAGTATTATTAAAATTTAGTATATATATAACGAAGAAGAATTTAGACGAGGACTTATAAGATAATATTATTAAGATTAATAGTTTTAAGCTAAAAGAAATTAAAGAGAAAGATCTTAAGATTAAAGAGAAAGATAATATACGCTAAAAAGGGGGCCCCGACGAGGTTTCGAGAGGTTTTAGATCGAGGTTTCGAATTTTCTTAAAACCTCGATCTCGTCTCGACTCGAAGTAAGGTTTCGGAATATACCCCGTTAACCCGGTAAACCCTAAGTATTTCTAAGCGACCCCTCTAAATTTTGATATTATGTAATAGAAATAGGGTAAAATAGAGTATAGAATACGATGTTATAGTCTAAATTAGAGTATAAGATATAGATACTTAGAAAGATACTTAGAATATATGTGAGATTATATTTATAAGATATTAGAAGAACGTTATAGAAACGTTATAAGAATAACGATCTCGAGCTAACTTAATTAATAGACTTAGCGAGAGTAACGATATACCCCCGTTACCTCGATAGGAAAACTCTATCTCGACTCTATCTCGTCTCGTGAAAACCTCGATCTAAAGCGGGGTAATATTAGATACTTAAAACCTCGCTTTACTTCGCCTTCTTATATAGCGTAAATAAGACTAAGAGTAATAAAGAAGAAGATAATAAGATATAATCTATATATCTATAAAAGCTTTTTATATATTAATTATTTAAGATAAATTTATCTAAGTCTTATAAGAGAAATACTTCTATTATATCGTTTAAAAATAAGAATATTATAAAAAGAGATAAAAGAATAACGTCGAAATAAGTCTATTATTTAAATATAAGTTAAAAATAAATAGTATTTATAATATTATAATTTATAGTTATCGATAGCGATATCTTTCTTTACTTATAATATTAATATATAAAGTTTAAGCTCGCTACCTTTATAATACGCTCTAAAATTACTCTTATTTTATAAAATAACGTAAATCTTTAATTAATATTTATCTAATATCTCTATTAAAGTATATTATTTATTATAGTTATTATTAAATAATACTTAATAATAACATCTAATTTATCTCGTCGTCGTTAGATCTTATTATTATACTCGAGATTTTTATTATTTAAGTCTATATTAATATAGTTTTATTAGCT